CCGAATAGGATTCCTCGCAAGAAAAAGGAAAAGTTGACAGCTATGGGTAGGATGCCCATATTTTTATCAAAGAAATGTTGGAGGGTATGATACTAATACTAATAAACATTCCTCAGAAATGCCTGGACTGCCTGAATCCCAGATGGGGATGAGAGACTACCACTTATTCCTCTCCATAATTCACATGTGATGAAACCACTGATCCTTCCTCCCTTCTTCATCCATGTGTTTGCGATATGTCCACCCAAACACCTCTACTCCCCCTGTGAAATTAACATTAACAGCTGCCCCTCTGAAGGTCTGGATTTCAGTCAACCCTAATGGATCAGAGAGCAAATGAATTTACTGTGGATTTGCCTTTATCTTTGTGTGACACGTTTTGTCAAGTAATACGGGAGTTCCCCTCTCCCTTCTGGTAGGTCACCAATAAGAAGTAACAAGCATTTGGTAGATTTATAGTCCTTTTATTACAGCATTATGTTGCGAGCGCAAAAAAGGCAACCCTCCGCAAGGATATCAGTTGCTCACTCTGACTCCCCCCCACTTCCTCAGCAAGAAGAGCGCCAACAGGAAGTTGCCCCTCCCCTGCGTTTCCTTTGTTCTCTGACATGCTCGGTCCTCCAAGTTTGGGGGGAGGGAGGGCTCCCCCCACTCTCGATTGATGTCTTCCCCAGCTGCTCCCTCCCTTCTGGTTGCTTAGCTACTATCTCATAGCTGGATAGCTCCTGTCTCAACTGGCAGCTTCTGAGTCTGCTTGTCTCTCTGCTTCTGGAATCACTGGAATATTGCCCCTCCTCTTCTGTTAGAAGCTGATCTTCCTCTGATTGCATTCCCTAATCTTCCGATCCAGAGCAGCCCGACACATTTCCTGGTGAGGAAGACTGTTGAATTGCATGTCAGGAAGGTCCACGCAATAACGCGATGGAGAGATCTTTTTTTTTAACTCAACTATTGTTACATTTAGTATTCCATTCTTCCTTTGTGGCAGGACCTGTTGTGATGAAGGGTGGGTTATAAAGAATATGGCAAATATATAAAATAGTGTGGGGTTGGGGGAATAGAATAAACTTGACTTGGCTAGGCTGAAATGATGTTATTAAGGACTCCTTCAATAAATGTTCCCTGACCTCTGAATGAACCAACAGGTCTTAAAAACCTTTGTGCCAGCCAAAGCAAATTATTGTAGCAAAGAAGACATTTAAATTATTCTTTCTTTCTTTCTGTCCCCCCATTTCCTAGTGCTGCTTGAAGCAGGACATTTCATCCTGTTGAGGCCCCTTCTGCACCACACATTTAAAGCAGGATTATACAACTTATAAAGAGACATGGCTTGCCCCTAAGAATTCTGGGAAATGTAGTTTGTTAAAGTTCCCGAGAGTTCTTACGAGACCCCCTATTCTCCTTGCAGAGCTGCAATTCCCAGAGTGGTTTAGCAATCAATCCCTCTTCCCTGGGGATATCTGGGAAAGCCACTTCCCGTTCCCAGGGAAATGACGCTGTGGACTGGGAGCAAGCCCTCCCCACGCACAAGGGGGGGGGATAGCTCCTGCGCCATCAGGGGGTCCTCGGCCACATCATCCCTAGGCTGTCCAATCCAGATGGTCTGGGGGCGTGGCGTGGGCTATTTAAACTGCCCGCGGCTGAGGACTTGCCCCCTTTTTTCTTCCTCCCTCCCTCCCTTAGGTTAGGCTCTTTATTTCTTGACCTTGCTATGGATCTTGGTGGTACAAGGGGCCTGGCAGGATTTTTTTCCACTTGGCCAATTGGCACCGGCCATTTGGTTTTTCGCCTACCTCGTAGCAAATCGTCACAACTTTGTAAGGTTTGGCGGTTAGGCTTTGGAGTATTCGGCTGAAGGTAAGAGGAGGTAGTGGCCATCACCTACCCCTCCTAATTCAAGGGTATTCCGTTAAAGGAATCCAAAGGACGTGGTCTCTGTCCGAAGCCCTAGACAGGGGGACTAGGGCCATGGCATGACCCCTAGCGGTGACCCTGGGGGCGTTCCTAGTTGATGTGCATCAGCAGGGCTCCCCCTACTGGTGGTTAACCCTTCCAAGACTTCCTGCGGACGGGCAGAAGTCAGATATAGTAGTGTGGTTTCCAGTGCCTAAGCCAATACCACTCACATTCTGTAACCAATAAAGTTGTGGTCTTTTTCGCCCATTAACCTAAAATGCTGTCTCATGTGTCTTTATTCCACTTCCTGGGAGGGTTTGGGACTTTGCCATACAATGGTAGATTGCAGAACAAGAACCAGAGCTGACGTGCAGCCAGAGTTAGCGCAACCATTGCCTTGGATTCCTTTGTGGTGCAACATTTAAACTGTACCATCCACTAGTGCAAGGACTCTTGTGTGCTGGTGGGCAGAAAATATTAGGTTCAACCCTAATTAGGCAAGCAGTGCCAACCCAATTTCATGTGGCCTTGGGGAAAGCAGGTGAGCAAGCACTCTGATGGAAATGGTGTTTTCCTCTAAAAAAATCCACAGTTCATTACTTGGGCCCAGGCTACCTGAAAGATCATATCTCCCTACAGAAACCTTTCCATTTTCTAAGATCTTCAGGTGAATGCCTTCTCTCGGCCCCATCAATATCAGTTGGTGCTGATATGAGAGAGAGTCTTTTCTGTGGCTGCTCCTATGTTGTGGAATTCGCTCCCAGGAGAAGTTAGACTGGCTCCTTCTTTGTTATCCTTCTGCTGGCAGCCCAAGACCTCCCTGTTCAGACAGGCTTTTGGAAAATACGGTGCAAATGTTGCATTCTCACTGGGCTGCTGTGTCTTAATTGCTGGTTCTAAATGTGTTTCGGTGTATTTTAACTACTTCGTTTGCATTACTATGTATTTCATAATGATGTTTTTAAATGTTGGAAGTCACCTTGAATCCCAGCTCGTGAGAAAGGAGCGCTATAAAAACATTAACTAGATGGATTAAAGAAATAAATTAAATACAAGATTAAAAACCGGGTGTGGGGAGAAGACTGTTTGCACTTATATGGGACCAATAATCTCAGCTGCTTATTCTCTTCAGAGTCTGGCTACATTTGATCATAGAAGGTTGGAAGTACAGGTGGAAGGGGCCCGAAAACATCTGGTCGAACCCCCTCCAATGATTGGTTTGATGAGTTATGGTTTATTAAACATTTTTGGAAAGCAACAGACAGATAACCATCTTATTTTATTTATTTCATTAATTGTTGTAGTTACGATATTATGGCAAAAAGTTCTGGGATTTTTTCTTTCTTTCTTGTAATTGTATACAAACCATTCATTTCTTTTTAATTTTCAAGTGGGGGGGGGGAGATGGGATCACCAGGAATTATGCTACCAATCCAGTTGAAGATGCAAAAATAAGAAAGCAAGAACAGCCTGCTTATTTTATTCTGCTGGATCTTTGCACAGCTTCTTTGAACAGAGCTCAAGGTGCATTTCTTCATCATCCCCCCCCCCCCGCCGCCACTTTGGTGAAGAACGGTATCTAAGGCCAACAAGTTTTTTCTCGCTTGTGTGATGTCTAGCCATACTGAAGGGCAAAAGATGCAGCTGCAAGGAGAATAGGACAGGATCATGCCAACAGAGAACATAACATACTGCAGGAAAGCTGGTTGCTATTAGCCTCAAGATGGAGAGCCAAATGTAACACCGTTGTCAGCGGTTCACAAGCCTGACTGCTTGGAGAAACCAGTGACCGGACACCACCATTTATTATTATTGTTATATAAAAAAATTAGAGCTTTGATTGGCCCATATTGAGGTCAACTTGTCCCCTCAAGGAACTGATCATCCTCCATGGAAGGAATCCTAGTCACTTTGAAGGTTCTGGGGAAACTAGATCGCAATAGACCACAGGTTGTGTCCTTGCTGGGATCTTTGCCGCGCAACATGGCTGGGACATAGAATCACAGAACTGCAGACTTGATAGGGACCCCAAGGGCCATCTAGTCCAACCCCCTGCAATGTCAGAATCTCAGTATGTGGTCCCCCATCCATTTTAAATCAAAGTAGCTTCACTTACCTAGCTTCACCAATGTGCCTGCAGTTTTTTACTGCTGCACTTAAGAACAAACAGAAGAGAGTTTGGAAGGGAGGAGATTTTCACACACACTGACATGTGGATAGTGACATGTGGATCCTGAATTAAGCAGGATAGATCACATTATTCAGTGGTTAGAAGCTTTGACCTTGGAGAACTGGGATCAAATCGCATCCTCACTCTCTCCTTTACAGTGGTACCTCAGGTTAAGCACTTAATTCGTTCTGGAGGTCCGTTCTTAACCTGAGGTACCACTTTAGCTAATGGGGCCTCCCACTGCCCCCACGCTTTCACCGCGCAATTTCTGTTCTCATCCTGAAGAAAAGTTCTTAACCCGAGGTACTATTTCTGGGTTAGCGGAGTCTGTAACCTGAAGCGTATGTAACCTGAAGCATCTGTAACCTGAGGTACCGCTGTATGGTGAAGCCTGCTTTTGCCCCAGATTGTCATCTGTAAAATAATATACTGTATACAGTGGTACCTAGGTACTCAAATGGCCTGGCTCCTGAACAAATCGGCTCCCAAACGCCGCAAACCCAGAAGTGAGTGTCCCAGTTTGCGAATGTTTTTCGGAAGGCGAACATCTGACATGGCTTCTGCAGTTTCCAATTGAGTGCAGGAAGCTACTGCAGCCAATCGGAAGCTGTGCCTTGGTTTTCAAACTGTTTCAGGAGTCAAATGGACTCCGGGAACAGATTAAGTTTGAGAACCAAGGTACCACTGTACCTCCAAGGTGATTGCAAAGATGAACCTGATAAGGATCATTATGCATTGTGCCACTAGAGAATGTTCTACAATGCAGGGATAGGGAACTTATGCCCTCTCTCTTCAGACAATGTGGGACTCCAACTCCCATCAGCTCCTGCCAGCAGGGCCCATGGTCAGGGATATTGGGAGATGGAGTCCAAGAACATCTGGAGAGGCAAAGGTCCCCTTCCCTAGTTCAGTAGGCATAGCCCATTGGAGAACAGCCATAGCTCAGTGATAGAGCACCTGCTTTGCGTGCAGAAGGTCCCAGGTTCAACTCCTGGCATCTCCAGGTAGAGCTAGGAGAAACTTCCTGCCTGAAACCCTGGAAAGCAGCTGCCGTTCAGTGCAGACAGAACTGAACTAGGTGGACCCAATGGTCTGGTTCTGATCCTATGCCTATATTTCACTTTAAAAACATCTCTGCAGTTGCCACCGATTTTACCGATGGTAAAATCCTGGAGGGGCTTCCCATCATAAATCTGAGCAACTGAGATCATACCTTTTAAATATCCCCGGAAATAATTTAGCGTTTGTTTGTCCCACTCCCCTAGGAATAATGAAACCCATCTATAGATGAACTGACTTTCAGCTCTTTTAAATCGAACACTCTTTATAAGGCAGAGGGGGGGTGCTGCATGCCCTTGAATGATTTAATGCTAATGTTACAGACTACAAGCGTACTAATGAGGTCAAATTCTACAAACATGTGGAGACAATTTGAGAGGAAAACAGAAATTGCACTCCTGACTTCCACCAAGTGGAAGTCATTTAGACTTTGCTTGATTTTTTATTTTATTTTTTAAGAGATGTGTTTGCTCAGGCTGATTATAGGTGGAAAGCAAAAGCCAAGCTGTGGATGAGACTGAGAACTCAATGAGATATATTCCAAAGGCAGTGCTTGCAACTGACAGCCGACTGTCACATCAACACTCATTGAACAGCTGGAACTGGTTCTCCGTGTTTAGCCAACTATGTGTTTGTGATTCAGTCAAGAGACGATGGAGTGCACCTCTGGGGGTGAGGTCAAATCGCTGTGTTACCAGCACCAAAGTGACCTCCATGGGGCGCAAGTCTGGGCATAAATCTTATAACTGTAGACCTGGAAGGGACCACAAGGGTCATCTAGTCCAACCCCCTGCAATGCAGGAATCTCAACTAAAGCATCCCTGACTCCCATCAGCACCAGCCAACCAGCATAGCCAGTGTTCAGGGATGAAGAGTCACAAGTTCCCCATCCCTGTATGAGAAATGTAGGAAGTGTCAGGAGCTCAGCCTACACTCGAGTAGGACCGTGGCAGAGACACATGCCCGACTAGCATGTTCTCTCCCTCCTGGTCGATCATTCGGGAGCTTCAAAAGCTTTCTTCTTCCTGAACATCACAGCGACTGATGCCAACAGACATTGACACACTTAGGGATCCACAGAGTTTGCGCATCATGCGTAACAGACCTCAGCAACTCAGCATTTTGGCTAATCTACTTTATTTACATATAAACACACACAGAGCACTGCAACATGGCTCCTTCTCTCTCTAGCATCAGACAGCAAAGAGAAAAAGAACAAAGGACAATAGTCCCACTTCACGGAGCACAGTAACACAAACACAGTAAAACAAACTCCGTCACTTCCCACTCTGTGGAGTCAAAACATACACCGTCATGTGAAAGACAACAATCCCATGACTGCAATCATGGAGCAGGAATTCTAACAGGAAGTTGCCTTACACTGAGTCAGACCATTGGTTCCATCCAGCTCAGTGTTGTCTGCACCTCTGGGCAGCAGTTCTCTAGGATTTCACAAAGAGTTGTTCCCAGCCCAACTTGGAGATGTCAGGGATTGAACCCGGGAGCTTTTGCATGCAAGGCAGATCCCTACACCACTGAGCTATGGCCTGTCCCAGGTACTGGCAGTGGGGTCCTTGCTGGAGTATGGGCTTTGGCAGCTGCCTGGTGTTGGCTTTCTCCTGCCACAGGTGCTGCTCCCTGTGGTTTCCGCCTGTTCACCTGCCACCTCTGGAAAGTCCAGCAAAGGAATGAGCAAGGAGAAGTAATGGTAACTTCAGCATCCCTTCTCCAGAGCAGAGGTGGATTTAAGGGAGTGTGACTGGTTCAGTCGCACTGAGGGCAAAGACTCGGAGGTGCCACAGGGCATGCAGCAATTATTATTTAGAATGGTGTGTGAGAGGCAGGGGGTGCCAAATTTTGGGGTTGCACAGGGCATCCTGCAATCTGAGACCCCAGGGTCTGCCACTGCTCAGACCGAGAGGCCAGCAAAAGGCTAGTAAGGTAAAGGTAAAGGGACCCCTGACCATTAGGTCCAGTCGTGACCGACTCTGGGGTTGCGCTGCTCATCTCGCTTTATTGGCCAAGGGAGCCGGCGTACAGCTTCTGGATCATGTGGCCAGCATGACTGAGTTGCTTCTGGCGAACCAGAGCAGTGCACGGAAACCCGTTTACCTTCCCAACGAGCGGTACCTATTTATCTACTTGCACTTTGACGTGCTTTCGAACTGCTAGGTTGGCAGGAGCAGGGACTGAGCAACTGGAGCTCACCCCGTCGCAGGGATTTGAACCGCCGACCTTCTGATCAGCAAGTCCTAGGCTCTGTGGTTTAACCCACAGCGCCACCCGCATCCCTAGTAGCTCACATCTAATCCCCAGCAACAGTTCTGCAAAAGGTTAGTGCCAGGGCTCGTTTCAGGTGCAATCTTCTGGTGCAACGCTGGCCTCATGTGTGTTTCGGCAGTGCTGGCTCCTCATCAAAAAGTCCTTCTCAGAAGCTGCTTTTATAAGCAAGAGCCTCAGACTCGGCTTTCGAATCAAGAACAAAAGGCCTAAGAGCATCAAATCCTTCAACTCCTCACTCACAAAACACACACAGAGATTTTACAAAAAAGCAACCCAATTGTTTGCTTTAAACCCATTTTTCTCTGGGTCATCTGCAAAACTGTGCAGTCAAGTATTTGCTTGGTTTATCCAAGGAGACATAGCTGACCCTTTCTAAAGAAAGCACCGGCATGTGTCAACTGGTTCCTTCCCGAGGCTCTGCTAAGAGCGCGGACACCTGCTGGAGACTTGAATGGCCAGCTAAAGGATGAGGTAGTGGCAGGTGCCTCCTGAGAGACCTTCTCTCTCCTGCTCTGCAAATATTCCAGTGGTGCGATGCCATTTCCTTGTGAAATCCCCTGCTACCCGTTGCCCATGTCAACGAAAGCACAGTACCCCGTTCTCTGCCTAGGCAGAATCACTGTTTTCGGAGCAAAGAGAGCGAGATGAGGCCAGATGCCCTTTTCGGCTGAAATACTGTACCACCGCGATACACAACATTCTTTCCCCTGTTTCTCCTGGAAGTTAACAGTGAAGCGGGTGCATTATAGGTGAATAATTTCCAGTAAAGCTTCCCACAAAAATGTGCTGTTCGTGCAGAAGGAAAGGAGAGTGGAAGTTTGTGTGTGTGTGTGTGTGTGTGTGTGTGTGTGAGAGAGAGAGAGAGAGAGAGAGAGAGAGAGAGACTTGCATCAGATCTAAACAGCAGATATGCAGGTGACGGAAAATACAAACCACACACAAACACACAATATTCAACAGACTCTCTGAGTAGCTGTAGTTTATTTAGGACACTGGGAATCCTAGGTCTGTGATGAGTAAACCTGAGTTCCCAGAATTCTTGGGAGTGAATGAAATTTGCTGATATAGAACAAGCTTTTAGTGATAAGATATATATATATATTTAAAAAAACAAAACCTGATGTTTTCTGCCATGGATTGCTGCAATTGTATTTTTTAAATGTTGAATGTATTGTTTCATTAATGCATTGTCTACAGCGTCCTGGTTTGTGTGTGCTTCCTAGAGCAAAATATACATCAGGAGGCTTAGTTTGGTCAGAATCGAGTGTACATTTCCAGAATTAACACTAAATACATTACTTCTGGTAAATGAGCCACTCTAGCTGCTAGAGGGCCGTGGAAATTTGTGTCCCCTGGCTTTTTAGACACATGAGAAGAGAAGACTCTCTGGAAAAGACCCTGAAGTTGGGAAAGATGGAGGGCACAAGCAGAAGGGGACGACAGAGGACGAGATGGTTTGGCAGTGTTCTGGAAGCTACCAGCATGAGTTTGACCAAACTGCGGGAGGCAGTGGAAGACAGGAGTGCCTGGTGTGCTCTGGTCCATGCGGTCATGAAGAGTTGGATGTGACTAAACAACAACAACGACCCATGTACTATCTGAAACCAAAGATGATTCCTGCATTGCTGGGAGTTGGGGTCCCGTCTGCATCTCTACATAGGAACATAGAAAACTGACTTATACCACTGCTCCATCTAGCTCAGTAGTGTTGTCAATGACTAGCATTTGCCCTGCAGGAGTCACTACCAGCCGTAACCTGGAGATGGGCAGAGTTGAACCTTGGATTTTCTGCATGCAAAGCAGATGTTCTGCAGTCTCTTTGGGATGCTTTCCTTTTCTGCGCTCGCCTTCTGGTCAGCACTGCCAGGGACTGCATGATTTGACTGAATCTTGGCATCATGAACTGAGTTTAGTTAAACGCTGGTCCAGCAGCTCAGTAAGTAAACAAACCCAAGAGGCAGAAGGGATCCATTCTTCTCCCAGCTGGGCACCTTCCTACAAACACAGAGGGCTTTGCAAAGACAGCCAGTCCAACGAGACAGGATTGTGCGGACACCTGGCAATGTCCACTGGTCCTCTCTGTCCCCGAGAGGCAGATCAGCGAGGTTGGTTCTCCTCCATTCTTCCAAAGATCAGGTTAAAACCCTGGGCTGCATCAAAGGCTCATTGCAGTGAAGTGGAAAAGCGGCGAGCAGATGTTGGAAAGGGTGGGTTAAAGTCTGAAAGAGCAGCGAGATGAAATGAAGAGGCAGATAAAACATGCATTTGACGTAAATTCATTGCTGCTGCTCACTGACAATCGGTAAAACAAGAGAGTCAGTGTAGTGTAGTGGTTAGCATGTCGGACTAGGACCGGGAAGACTAGAGTTCGAATCCCCACTGAGCTATGAAGCTCACTGGGTGGCCTTTAGCCAATTACTGCCTCTCAGTCTAACCTACCTTACAGGGTTGTCCTGAGGATTAAATCTCTAATTCTAATGAACAACCACCAGGGCTTATTTAATTTTCCAGAAGCTTGTGTGCCCCCTTGCAGACCAGGAGTTTATAACTGAAATCATCATTGATCTGACAACTGTTGGAAATAAAATATTAGGTGAAATGACCCTCTGGCCTGCTGTGGCAGGGCTCTTCTGGCCATAGCTGTCAAAGTTTCCCATTTTTTAAAGGGAAATTCCCTTATTCCGAATAGGATTCCTTGCAAGAAAAGGGAAAAGTTGACAGCTATGCTTCTGGCTATCCCATCATGCATCCTATTTCCAGTTGCTGCCAGCCAGACTTTGCTAGGAAGTCTACAAGCAGGATAGACTTGTAGACTGGATTTCTCCCCTCCGGTTTGTCTTCACCTCTGGATATCCCAAAATACATTGCTGCTGAACATGGAGGCTCCATTCAGCTGTCACAAACAACAGACTGATCCTCCATATATATTTTCCCCAATTCATCTTTGAAAGTAGTTTTCTTTTGCTTGAAAGTTGGGAGAAGAGAGGAAAGAGGCGAACTGATACTATGCCCTTCTGAAAAGTCACCCTGGAATCTCTTCTTTTGTTGCCTTCTAAACTGGGCTGAGACAGTTCTGCCCTCTTCTTTCCCTCTGCCTTTTAAGCATGAGTCCCTGTGTTGCAAAGGGCAAAGTGAAATCGTTTTTTTAGGCAAGTAGATGTCTACCCTATGAGAACAATCTCAAAACTGAATCAGACCTTTACGCAACGGAATACTAGTGACACCTGGTGGACTTTTGAGGCATGGTGGCAAATAGTGAGACACATTTCTAAAGACCTATCAACACTATAGGTTTAAAGTGGTTTAATAGACATCTCCCCCTTGGCCAAAACCCCCACAAACCAACCCAGGGAACAGATGCTCTAGAGCAGCGGTTCTCAACCTGTGGGTCCCCAGATGTTGTTGGACTACAGCTCCCATCATCCCTGAGCCCTGGCCTTGCTAGCTAGGGGTGATGGGAGTTGTAGCTCAACAACATCTGGGGACCCACAGGTTGAGAAAAGCTGCTCTAGAGAAATCTGAGCACCCTTCTCATAATTAAATTCCAGGGTGTTTTTTTGGGTTGCTGTTGTTTTTTGTGGGGCGGGGGCATTCCAGCTGCATTAATATATAAATCTCCTTATTTATTCCCTGGCTGCAGACCAGCACTCATAGGAAGCAGAGTTCTTCAGGAACTGCAGCTCGGAGGATGGGATAGTTCTGCTTCCTGGTCTGCTCCAAGTGGGTCCGTATATGTTGGAGCTCACATGTCTTCCCCTGGGGAGTCGCTTATGCCTTGGTGATTGGTCCACAGGCTTCTCAGGGGGTCAAGAGAACTGGAGACCCCATTGCCTCAAAGGAGGCAATGACTTCTGAAGGTGGCACCAGCCCTTTATCTAGCTAGGAATAGGGATGTGAAGATATATGGGGTGGTAAACAGCTTCTTTCCCTGTTTTTCTTCCAGGTTTCTCCATCTCTAGCTAGGAGACATAACATGGAGGGAGAGGCTACAGTCAATGACCGCCTAACTGGTTCTGCTGCTGCAGGGACTTGCTGAGACAAGTTTGATGCTTGACCTCTAAGGCAAGGGCACTATCCATGGTCCTGAAATTGTAACATGATCTCCCTCCAAGGTGCCTCTGCTTCCCCCCAAATAATCTTGGAAACTGTAGTTTTCCTGATCACTGGTCCTGCTAGCTAGGGATGATGGGAGTTGTAGTCCAACAACACCTGGGGACCCTAGTTTGAGAAACATTGATTTAAGGGATAGCCAGTACCTCTCAAGAACATTTTTTGCTATCACATTCTCCTTCAAAAAATTTATAATTTACATTTAGATCCCACCTTTCCTTCAAGGAGCTCAAGATGGTATACATGGTTTTCCTCCTCCCTCACAACAACCCTGTGAGGTAGGTTAGGCTGAGAGGTTAGGCTGAAAAAACTAAGATCATGGCCACTGGTCCCATCACCTCCTGGCAAATAGAAGGGGATGAAATAGAGGCAGTGAGAGATTTTACTTTCTTGGGCTCCATGATCACTGCAAATGGTGACAGCAGTCATGAAATTAAAAGACGCCTGCTTCTTGGGAGAAAAGTGATGACAAACCTAGACAGCATCTTAAAAAGCAGAGACATCACCTTGCTGACAAAGGTCCGTATAGTTAAAGCTATGGTTTTCCCAGTAGTGATGTATGGAAGTAAGAGCTGGACCATAAAGAAGGCTGATCGCTGAAGAATTGATGCTTTTGAATTCTGGTGCTGGAGGAGACTCTTGAGAGTCCCATGGACTGCAAGAAGATCAAACCTATCCATTCTGAAGGAAATCAGCCCTGAGTGCTCACTGGAAGGACAGATCCTGGAGCTGAGGCTCCAGTACTTTGGCTACCTCATGAGAAGAGAACACTCCTTAGGAAAGACCCTGATGTTGGGAAAGATGGAGGGCACTAGGAGAAGGGGACGACAGAGGAAGAGATGGTTGGACAGTGTTCTCGAAGCTACCAATATGAGTTTGACCAAACTGCGGGAGGCAGTGGAAGACAGGAGTGCCTGGCGTGCTCTGTTCCATGGGGTCATGAAGAGTCGGACACGACTAAACAACAACAAGAAGATAGATAGATAGATAGATAGATAGATAGATAGATAGATGATAGATAGATTTTTGGTGCCAGAGTTTGTGGGTGCAAGTCACCCATAATTCTTTAACTCTGTGAAGTTAAAATTAATCAATATTTGACTGAACTGTGCCACTGCAGCACATGTTTTAAGCTTCCATGTTGCATATAGCTTGCATCCCTCATAATTGCATCACCAAACTTGTTTTTTTCTTTTCTGGAATCACTACTGGGAATAAACATAATTAAAGGAGGTGGAAGGGTTATGCCCACATCCCTCCTAGAGAGTAGTTCTTGGCTTCAGAAGCCTTTGCAGACTGCATGACTTTCTTCATCTTTGTGAAACAGACGCGAAAGCAGCAAAGTCTAGCTTGCCTTTCAAGACCTTTGGTTTATTTCTCGGTCTCTTTGAGTTTATAGCCTTTGAAGACAGTGTTTACCTACAGACCAGTAGCAATTCTTGGAGTGCATTTTTGTTTTATAAAGTGTTTTACAGCCCCGGGCACCTTCCCAACAAGGACAAACACTCCCTGGGGCTATCCACATCTGAGGATAAAGTATGTTAAGATGATAAGCAGGGCACAGTTGCATTAGGCCAAAGGCCCATCCAACCCAGAATGCTGTTCTCACAGCAGCCAACCAGATTCCTACAGGAATCCCACTAGCATGACCTGAGAGAAAGAGCCTGCTGCAGTTTGCAGCAACTGGTATTCAGAAAAATGTGCTGAGGCAGAGTACAGCCATAATAGTTTGTATCCATTGATGGCCTTGCCCTCCATGAATTTACCCAATCCTCTTTTAAAGCCATTCAAGTTGGTGGCCATCACTGTCTCTTGTGGGAACGAGTTCAAAAGTTTGAATATGTGCTGTGTGAAGAAGTACAGTGGTACCTCGGGTTACAGATGGACGCTTCAGGTTACAGACTCCGCTAACCCAGAAATAGTATCTCAGGTTAAGAACTTTGCTTCAGGATGAGAACAGAAATCGCACAGCAGCGGGAGGCCCCATTAGCTAAAGTGGTACCTCGGGTTAAGAACAGTTTCAGGTTAAGAACAGACCTCCAGAACGAATTAAGTTCTTAACCCGAGGTACCACTGTACATTCCTTTATCTGTTCTGAATTTTCCAACATTGGCTTTATTTGATGTCCACGAGGCTCCCAGTGCGTTTTTGACCACAATTCAAAGTGTTGGTGCTGACCTTTAAAGCCCTAAACGGCCTCGGCCCAGTATACCTGAAGGAGCATCTCCACCCCCATCGTTCTGCCTGGACACTGAGGTCCAGCGCCGAGCAGCTTCTGGCAGTTCCCTCATTGTGAGAACCAGACAGAGGGCCTTCTCGGTAGTGGCGCCCATGCTATGGAACACCCTCCCATCAGATGTCAAGGAGATAAACAACTACAGTGGTACCTCTGGTTACGTACTTAATTCGTTCCGGAGGTTCGTTCTTAGCCTGAAACTGTTCTTAACCTAAAGCACCACTTTAGCTAATGGGGCCTCCTGCTGCCACTGTGCCGCCAGAGCACAATTTCTGTTCTCATCCTGAAGCAAAGTTCTTAACCCGAGGTATTATTTCTGGGTTAGCGGAGTCTGTAACCTGAAGCGTCTGTAACCTGAAGCATCTGTAACCCGAGGTACCACTGTGTCTGACTTTCAGAAGACCTCTGAAGGCAACCCTGTTTAAGCAAGTTTTTAATGTTTGATGTTTTATTGTGCTTTTAATATTCTGTTGGGAGCCTCCCAGAGTGGCTGTGGAAACACAGCCACATGGGCGGGGTATAAATAATAAATTATTATTAGAAATTATTATTTTTACTATAAGAGAGGGAGAAAAATGTCTTTCTCCACACTTACCATGCATAATTTTATACATGTCTGCTGTGCCCCACTTTATTCTCATTTTCTGCACTCTAAAAAGACCCAAACGCTGCCCTTTTCCAAAAAAATTCCAGCTCTAAATTACCCCTTTTGAAGTCCTTTGCTTTATTAACTTGTTTTTATTTCGTAAAAATTATATGCCGCTTGTTTGTGGGGGGACGGACTTCAAAGTGGTTTACAAATAATATAAAACAGAATTATCACAAAAAAAATTACAACCATAATTTATTTTAAAAATGAAGAAATTTAAAACCACAATAAAATAGACTAAAACAAATTGATACTCATATAAACTTTCTAAACATATGGCTAGGCTTGCCTAAATAAGATTGTCTGCAGCGGATGCCGGAAAGAATAAAGGGAAGGCACCTGCCTGAGATCAATAGGCAGGGAGTTCCAAAGTGTTGATGCTGCCATATTAAGTGACCGAGTTCTTACAGATGCAGTGCAGATGTTTTGTCCCTGTCCTGACTCTACCGCCAATAAGAAGATTATTAATTATTATTATTGCATAATAAGGAAATCCCTAACAAATGCAATAAAAAAAATCCTGCTCAGAGGTAAATTTTATTAGGCTTCATTGGACTTTGATCACTGGGTCTGGGACTTACAGTCATGCACCACACTCACATGCACGCTTACTCAGGAGTAAACCTAGCCGGATACAATGGGGCTTAACTTCAGGTAAGAGTGCATGGGGTTTTCTGGCAGCAAGCAATGCCTGCAAACCTATGCACACTTATTTGGGAGTAAACCTCATTTGAAAGCACTGGGATTCCCGAGGAAGCCTGCATATGAGAAGACTGCAGCGCTATGGGATTTTGTATTTAATTCCCAGCTGAGCAATATGCCTCCCTTAAGGGCGCAGCGAACCACCCAACTACCATTGAGCGCAACCATATGCCTTTCAACGCGAGAACTACAGCCCCCACAACCCCTTGCGCCAGCGCGGAACGCTTCGGGAGGCCGGGGTCCTCCGCTCCCATTGGCTTTCCCACCGCGGCTGCCCGTGGTCCCGCCTGCTTCTCTTGCCCTTCGCGTCCTCTCCGCTACAGCTTCTAGCCCGGGAAACCTTGCCCCGAAATAAGCAAATCACACCCGTACCGTGACAGGCCGCTTACCCACCTCTGCTCTTCCATATATGTATATACACAAACTTCCCTTGTCAGGCACTTTCGTAGTGTGCCTGCAGAAGCCCCACTGGCGCATGCGCACCGGGTAGCGATGTCGTGACAGGAAGGGGCCGGCCTCGCGAGGCCCCCCCTTGTCATTGGCAGCCAGGGCGAAGGCGCCGGGGCGATGTCTTGCTGCGGGAGCGGCGCCGTGGGCGCGCGAGGCCTCGGCCGCCTCCTTCTGCTCCGTGAGTGAGGGGCTGCCGGCGGGGGGGGCGGGGCCAGGCCGGTGGAGGCGGGGCCAACGGGAGGGGGGGTCTCGTCACGTGACGCTGAACTACTTTTCCTCCCCCCCATAAATTTAACCCTTATCTCTGCCCTTTTCGGGGTGGGGGTCCTCTCAATCACCCCTTTCTGTTCTGAAATGGAATTAAAGGTAAGGGAAGGAGGTATAGATATTGCACGTTCGGGGAATTTGCAACCATACAAATAATAATAATAATAATAATAATAATAATTTATACCCCGCCCAGCTGGCTGAATTTCCCCAGCCACTCTGGGCGGCTTCCAACAAAAGATTAAAAATACATTAAAACATCAGTCATTAAAAACTTCCCTAAACAGGGCTGCCTTCAGATGAGTTAAGAGCTGTCCTTGGCCACAAATAAGACATGTAGGGCTGCATATGAATTCAATAAATGCTAATAATGATAATGTGGGGTTGGGGGTTTGGGGGGTGGGCAAGAACCTCAGTTAAGTATTTTTTATGGATTTACTTGATTTAGTGGGTGGCAGCTGCCTCCCCTCTTGGCTACACCCATGTCTGCATATCAGAGCCACAGCTCAGCAATACCTCAAGGACCACCTCTTTCCATATGAACCTACCCGGATCCTGAGATCATCTTCTGAGGCTCTCCTTCGTGTGCCTCCTCGAGAGGTCTGGAGGGTGGCAACACGAGAGCAGGGCCTTTTCTGCAGTGGCTCCCCATCTGTGGAATGCTCTCCCCAGGGAAGTTCACCTGGCACCTTCGTTGTACACCTTTTTAACTAGGCCTTTGGGTGATATGATTGACATCCTATGCCCTTTTTAAAAAGTGGCTCTTTTTGGTGTGTGTGTGTTATTGGGTTCTTGTTTACATTTTGATTTTATATATTGTGATCTTTTCTGTGAACTGCCCTGAGACCTCCGGGTATAGGGCGGTATATAAATTCAATAATCGATCAATCATATAAATTCAATCAATCAATAAGCAAGCTATGGTGTGTGTGGTGGCCAGGGTTTTTTACCCCAGAGGGGCATCCTTGAGGCTCCCAGCTTGTGTGTGTATACAAATACATATGGGGTATTTGTGCCAGTCTGAGTCTTTGACCTGGGTGGATTAAAGCCTAGTTATGTGTGTTTATACTTCTGCTGGTGCAGAAGTTCAGCCATTTGGTCGCTCACTGGAGAAAGATGGTTTGAGCATCTTGCACCCATCCTGGTCTGACTGCGCTGGCTTCCACTCAGCTTCTGGGCCCAATTCAAAGGGCAGGTTTAGACCTAGAAAGCCTTAAACAGCTCAGGACCACAGTACCTCAAGGACAGGCTCTCCCCAAACGAACTGACCTGGACCCTGTGATCATCCTCAGAGGTCTTTCTTCGTTTGCTTCTTCCGCAGGAGGTCTGGAGGGCGGCGACATGAGAAGGCGACCTTTTCTGTGGTCCCTCGCTGTTTGTGGAAGTCTCTCCCCAGGGAGGCTCGCCTGGTGCCATCATGACACTTAGGTGCTATTGATCTCAAGCAAACACTAGTTTCTGGCTTGGGCTGGGCTAATTTTGCCTGGGAATTTTAGTTCCAGTGGCGTAGCTAGGCGTGAGCCCCAGATCTTTTTTTTTTGCTTCACCCCATATCTCCACCTTCTTCCCACCTTGTAAGAATTACTGTTATTAAACCTTTTTGCTTCCATAGTCACTGGGCATGCTGCAAAGCATAGTGGCACCTGCCATTTTAAGTTGATCTGAGCCCTAATTTTTTATCTGTAGATTTAAAATAAGGACTTAGGAAGTTGGGACACGGGTGGCACTGTGGGTTAAACCACAAAGCCTAGGGCTTGCCGATTGGAAGGTCGGCGGTTCGAATCCCCGCGAGGGGGTGAGCTCCCGTTGCTCGGTCCCTGCTCCTGCCAACCTAGCAGTTCGAAAGCACGTCAAAGTGCAAGTAGATAAATAGGTACCACTCTGGCAGGAAGGTAAATGGCGTTTCCGTGCACTGCTCTGGTTCGCCAGAAGTGGCTTAGTCATGCTGGCCACATGACCCGGAAGCTGTATGCCGGCTCCCTTGGCCACTAAAGTGAGATGAGCACCGCAACCCCAGAGTCGTCTGTGACGACCTAATGGTCAGGGGTCCCTTTACTTTACTTAGGAAGATAGGAAGCTGCCTTATATTGAGTCATACCCTTGATCCATCTACCTTAGTGTTGTCTACACTGATTGGAAGAGGCTCTCCGGGGTATCAGAAGGGGCTTTCCAAGTCCAAAGATGCTTCAGAGGAGGGGGAGGGGCTTGAGCCTGCAACCTTTGCCATGCAAAAATTTGCTCTGCCAATGAGTTGCAGCCCTTCGCTGTAACACAGCTGGTTAGCTTCAGATGTATGCAAGCACGTGTTTGTGACATGCTTGTACCGCAAAATCTTCCACTCCCCCTGGGCTGTTTTGTTTGTTGCCTGGGCACTCATTGGTGCAGATCTTAATTCCCCAGACCACACACTCGGTGCTACCTCGGAATTAAAAATACAGTACAGTAGTTAAAACACTTTGCTGCTCCTTGAGATGTATTCCCCCTCTTCCATTAAACTAAAATAAATAAATAAACAAAACCCAGGCAAAATAAAAACCACAGGCCATGTGAGGTTTGGTGTGTAGTTGAATTCTTACTGGAGGAAAGGCACCTCATCTCAACCATAATTGCTTTTTATGGCTTTATAGCTATAGCTTAACAATGTGAAAACCAAGAGTACACATTCGCAGTGGAACAATATAATGAAAGTTGAGTGGCACGTTTCTGCATGCTCTCATACTTTCTTTTGTTCCTGGATGTATTCCTGGGTTCTGTTCACGTTTGTCTGGATGAAGAGTGTAGAATTTTAAAAAATGTGTTTGTGTTTTGCACGTTTCCTTGTTCCCTCTCTCTCTCTCTCTCCTCTCCCCCCCCCTCTTTTTTGAGTTTCATGAGACCATCAGTTTTTCTTTTTTGATTCCATCCTTTGCTGTTCCAGCATGAGCAGAATGGACTTTTGCTTGTGAAATGGGACCTCACCTCCCTTTTCTCTTCTTGCATGTACATGGAATCTGCTGGGGGGGGGGGGAATTTGGGGACCCTCTGGAGCAGATTTGAGGGGTGCACAGGGTTTAAGGTGGTGCAGAAGAGAGGATGATAAAATCCCATTGGCCAAGGGAACATTCACTCACGCAGCATTGGATTCCACCCAGTTTATATGCATCTATCTAGTTTGACCGACATGAGTTTTTACTGAGTTCTTAGTAAACAGCTGTAACTTGTGGTTGCAGCCCAAAAAACCCCTCCCCCCTCCAGTCTCTTGGCATGTGCAGGGGTTTAACACTGCAGACATGTATCTGCTTAAACTAGAGCACAATGAACAATGCTGGTTTATAGCAATTGCTATAGTAATTAGTTTTGTGAGTCTCAGAACTTGTTTGGTGAAGTTAATATTTCAGGATGATGAGTGTATAGCGCCCACCCATTCTGGAGTTCATCGGGACTAGAATACTTGGATTTAAGCCCATTGATTAAATTGTGCCATCTTAAAACTAAAGCATTTCAGCTTTATTAGATTGTTGATCAGCCTAATTAGAGCTAATTGGAGCTTCAAGGGCTCTGAGCCATCCCTAACTGCTTTTTGAATGACAGGTACTTGCACTTGTGCAAAAGGAAGCGCATGGTTTCGAATGCTGCCCCTTACACAATTTTAGATTTCATTCTCTTGCTGTTGAAAATCCAAATTTGATGGGGGCGGGGAGGAAACAACATATGACTTGATGTGTTAGAACACAAATTATTATTGGGGCCTGAATGAAGTTTATGATTTCTTCCTTATACTGCAAATGTTAGGGCCCAGTTAAAATGTGATGGCTAGAACCTATCCTCTAAGGTTTAAAGAACAAGGCAGAACTATTTGCAAAGGGGCTTTGAAGCAGCACCCAGCAGGATGGAAAGTCTCCATTCATCAGCTGATAAGCGGAGACTTCAGTCCTGCGCCCTGCCATGATCTCAGCAGGATTCAATCCCACACTGATGAGAATGGGTCAAATACTGCTGCTTTTGCTGCACATGTCAGTTCCATGTGGGGAATTGACACAATCAGCCAGTGCAGAACTGAACACCGACCATCAGCTGATGTCACCCATCATTCAGAGTGATGTCAGCTAATTGGCAGATGGACATGGTTTTGGAAAAATAGCATCGTGCTCTGAAAGTTACTTTGGTAATTGCTTTTGAAAGCTCCTATTCTTTCAATAAAATTGTTTGAGTTAATATTAAAGGTGCAATGATCTTTCTTTTTTCTTTTTAAAAAGCAGACTAACATGGTTGTCCTGTAATTTGTCAAAAAAAAGGGATGATAAAGTTTAATTTTCTGAGTTGTGCATTTATCCTGCGTTCACAAAATAAGGCGATCGAGCTTTTTCTGTATTTTTTTCCCCTAGTGCAGAAAAATGGGGTACGGCATTGTTCCTATTTGGCCACACGAAAGAATCTCTACATCACTAAAGACACAAAGGTCGTTTGTCAGGGTTTTACCGGCAAACAGGTATGTGTTTGGCTGTACCTTTCTCGTACTGTTGAAGAGTGGTTTTCAAACTGGGTTTGAGGAGCCCTGGGGTTCCTTCGGTGAACTTTGCAATGGTCCATTAGCAAGATTTGGGATGGCAGACCAGCTTCCTTGAAAGACAGCTTGCTGCTGCCGCTGTTCGTCTTCCCCTGCAATGCACAGCTGGGATGAAGTTTCTGGTGTATTCTAAGACATGTTCCCAGCTTGTACAGAGCATTGGCTGCAAATGCTCATCGCACTAAGCCAAACCGTGGCATATTGTGAATGTGCAATCATGTTGGCTTCTTAAGAGGAGATCTCAGTCACTTTGCACCTCCCCAGACTTTTTAGGTCTCCTTGGCAGTGAAGCCAAGGTTTGGCTTCATGAGTTCTCTGAATCCAGGATTGTGGTTAAGGTCTCTCCTGAATCACAAACGGTAGCCAAAGTTTGTTCGATGGTTTCAGGTCTTGTTTAAGAAGGAGACACCTTAACCACGATCCCAGGTTCAGAAGACATGCTAAGTCAATCCTTGATGTTCCACACTGACCCATACACCCCCCTCCCAGCCTGGCGTCAAAATTGGGTGGTGCAACACCTCCTCTCATCTACTCAGAAGAAGGAGAAGCGTTCAGCGGAGCCTGCATAAAGGCTGCAAGCTCTTCTCCAGGAGCCAGCATAGTTCTGCAGTGACATTGAGCCATGTGACGTATGAACCATACCAGTGCTGCCCCATAGGCCTAACCACTTACCTGCACTCGGTAAGAACTGGGCACTCAGTAAGACATTTGGGGGCACCAGGTCTTCTGATACACACATGGATTTGTTTTTAGGAATGCTGATGTTTGTGGGGATCCCTGGAGGTAGAATCGCATGAACATCATAAGAGGCCTGCTGGGTTACAGCGAAGGACCGCAGTAGCTAACTAGATGCTCCTGAGATCTTCCGAGTGTGAAGGCAGCATCACTCCCTTTTTCCCAGTGTGGGGCTCAAACCCTAATACAGTGGTGCCTCGCAAGACGAAATTAATCCGTTCCGCGAGAGTCTTCGTCTAGCAGTTTTTTCGTCTTGCGAAGCAACCCTATTAGCAGCTTAACGGATTAGCGCTATTAGCGGTTTAGCGGCTATTAAAGGCTTAAAGGCTTAGCGGATTAGCTGCTAAAAGGCTATTAAAGGCTATTAAAGGCTTAGCAGGTTAGATAAAGGGGGCGAAAAGCGAAAAAAATCTCAAGACTTGCAAGACATTTTCGTCTTGCGAAGCAAGCCCATAGGGAAATTCGTCCTGCGAAGCAACTCAAAAACGGAAAACCCTTTCGTCTAGCGGGTTTTCCGTCTTGCGAGGCATTCGTCTTGCGGGGCACCACTGTACTAAGAGTTTCCTGCTCTACTGACTGAGCTAGTGGATTGGGAGAAGACTTAGTCCAAATAATAGTAGTGCCCAAGGTCATGGAAGGTTAGTTTTATGTTGTATATGTGTTGTAATTAGAACTGGCCGACAGATCTAGTTCTGAAACCGTTGTTCAAGTTCTAAACGTCAGTACAAACTAGAGGAAACACATTTTTTTGTTCTCCTGCATACAGTTTGTATCTGCCTATACTGCAAATGGTGTCTTCTATTTATAGCTTCTCATGCCACACTTAATGTTTGGAATGCTGATCCATCATGGGTCACAGAAATGAAGCTGTGCCTTAGTTCTAGAACGCAGTAGGGCATATTCCTTGTCTGTTAACTTGTGGCTTTTTCTACTTCCGACTTTTCGGTTTTTAAGGAAAGCAGCAGAATTGACCTTGGGTGCATTTGGTTTAGTCCAGGAGTGAGGAGCTTGTGGTTCTGCAGTTACCATTGGACTTCCATTAGTCCCAGCCAGCATAATGGTCAGAAGTCATGGAATTGTAGTCCAAAAACATCTGGAGGGACACAGGTTCCTTACCCCTAGTTTAGTCCAAGGCCCAGACTGACTATGCAGAATTTACTGTTTACTACAATTGAATGCTATATCTCTGGACTGTGCCACTTAATATTGCAGGTTTGAGATGGCACATTTACATGCTTCCCAGGCTTGATAAAAAACAGCCAAGCATTTGTTCCTCTGCACTTAGAAATCTAGCACCTCATGCTAGCAGCGTATGCTTGATTTTTATTTTTTTTTAAAATGGATCATGGTTACTGGCTCTCATGCAGCTCCCATTTCTTTCACTGGCCTTGTGCAGGAGAAGTCTAGCTTTGCATCACTTTTGTCCTCCTATCTTAACCTAGTTTTTGTTATGTTTGTATTTCTCTTGCAGGGTACCTTTCACAGTCAACAGGCGTTGGAATATGGCACCAATCTAGTAGGAGGGATTTCTCCTGGCAAAGGGGGCAAAACTCACTTGGGGCTTCCGGTCTTTAACTCCGTGAGGGAGGTAATAATATATTGCTATATGAGAACTGATCCCACATCTTGATTACATCCAGACTAGATCATCCAAACGTTTCACCAAATATCCGTGCAGTAGAAAGCAAATTTCCGCTTCTGATGATGAGGATATTCTTTTGGCATGGCAAACAGTTTGAAAGATCGATGATTTCTTCTTCTTTTTTTAAATGTAATTGTATCTTAGGCTAAAGAGAAAACGGGTGCTTCTGCCTCTGCAATATATGTGCCGCCACCATTTGCCGCCGCCGCAATCAATGAAGCCATTGACGCAGAAATCCCCCTCGTTGTGTGCATTACAGAAGGTATTCCCCAGCAGGACATGGTGCGTGTCAAACACAGATTGCTTCGTCAGGAGAAGACTCGGCTCGTTGGCCCAAATTGCCCAGGAGTGATCAACGTAAGGGCTCAAGCAAAGTTAAAACTAGCGGAGATCTTCTTAAGAGAGTAGAAGCCTATATATTTTGGCTAAAGGCAGGCGTGCCATCTGATTAACATTCTTGCCTGTCCTGTAGGCACCATCCTCGTGAGCTGTAGTGTTTTCCCAGTGTTGCTTGACTCCACTTCCCAGCTTCCCTCACCATTTTTAAAAATATATATGTGTATAATTTTTATTAAATTTTCTGTTTTACAATTTACAATACTCATTTATGCATCCTTAAGATATCAATGACTTCCCTTCTCTTTCCATGGTTCATTTTGCATATCATAAATCCCTGCGTATTTTACAAAAACTAAACAATTCAGTATTCCATTAATACATCCATCAAACCTTATTTACACTGTTGAATTTATCTTAACGCTGCCAACATTTTCAGGTGTGCACAATTCCCCCCCCCCCCAATATATTCAATAAACGTTTTCCATTCTTCTCTAAACGTATGTTCTTGTTCTCTAATTCTATACAGTGGTAGCTTGGGTTACGAACTTAATTCGTTCCAGAGGTCCGTTCTTAACCCAAAACCGTTCTTCACCTGAGGCGCGCTTTCACTAACGGGGCCTCCCACTGCCACCACCGTGCAATTTCCGTTCTCATTATCTATGATAAGCAAAATGAACCATGGAAGGAGAAGAAAGGAAGTCACTGATATTTTAAGGATGTTAAAATGGGTATTTTAGAATAACAGAAAATTTAATTAAAAAATTATATAGAAAAGATGGGTGGGGTACGAAAAATAATACAGTGGTGCCCCGCAAGACGAATGCCTCGCAAGACGAAAAACTCGCTAGACGAAAGGGTTTTGCGTTTTTTGAGTCGTTCCGCAAGACGAATTTCCCTATGGGCTTGCTTCGCAAGACGAAACATCTTGCGAGTTCTTGCGAGTTTGTTTCCTTTTTCTTAAAGCCGCTAAGCTGTTAATAGCCGCTAAGCCGCTAATAGCCATGCTTCGCAAGACGAAAAAACCTCAAGACGAAGAGACTCGCGGAACGGATTAATTTCGTCTTGCGAGGCACCACTGTAATTACTACTACTACTATAATGAAAAACCAACTTTTTTCAAACTTCGTTTTGGAGACCCCTGGAGCTTAATAGCAAGAAGATCAGCTTTCTCGCACAGTGCCTTGCATGCTGCATCTGATCTTCCTGGAGCCACGGGGACAGTGTGCTCTGTTCATGCAAGGCATAGCTAACACTCCATAAGGATTGACTGCATACCCTCTTCCATCAGCATCTGGAGGGCAGCAGGGTGGCTACCTCTGCCCTGGAACATGCCCCACAATCCTGTGCAAAGTACAGAGGACTTGCAGCAAGTTCAGAGGTCGCTTTGGGCAGTCTTGACACACTGGGAAGGAGTCTTATAGAGGAAGGTTGTGGTGGTGACTTCGGATAAGTGTATGAAATGATGTTCATCAAGTTTGTTTTGTTTTTAGCCTGGAGAATGTAAAATTGGTATCATGCCTGGCCACATTCACAAGAAAGGAAGAATTGGTAAGATCTCAAAGATTTTTCTAGTGTGTTTTTGAAAAATAATAACAACAACAATAACAAAAACCTGCAGTTGTATTCGCTCTAATACAATAGGGTATGCATTTGGCTTAACACCCTAGCCTTCAAGATATTAGTCAATGTTGACGATGTCAACATACCCACCACCTTTTGATTTGGCAGGTCCTGTGCAGGAACTATAAGAGAGGCAGGTTTGAAGCAGCAGAGCTTGCTTCAGGGACAAATTCAAATAAAACACGTGTGCCATCTTATCATATTAGCTAGGGCCAAGTGCTCCCATGCAGAACCCAAAGTCTTCGGAGGGGGAAATCAGAATGGCAGTCTTCTAGTAAGGCCCAACTGAGTCCAGTCTTGAAATATCCAACCAAGTCTGCCCTTAGTTTGCAGCCTGTGTTAAGTGCGAACATATGCACACTTCAAAAGAAAGATAACTCCCAGGTTGGCTTGAGTGCTCCCTCCCCAACCTAAAGACTGGATTTTAGATTCCTCAAGTGGTGGTGCGCTGTTATTTTCGCACATGCAGCAAAGGCAGACACTTCATATAAAAACGATTTGCCGTATGGGTGAGCATTATATCGAAACTCAAACGCCATGCTCTTTTAAATGGGCAGTTTCAAAGTCGACTGCTGTCCTCTTTTAAGTTTCAAACAGTGGTTGGTAACACAACGGGCTTTGCTGAGTTCTTGTGGGGTTTGATTTCTTCAATGTCACAATCAGGACACCTTCCTGCACACTCTGCCCTTTGAATAAGTAAACTCCAGACAACGGGAAATCTTTGCGAAGCTGCTCTTGGTGTGTGTTTGTTTCAATAGGGCTTATACTTCAGGGTTTGCTGGTATAATGCTCCTATGTTGCTCTTACGTTGCATTGTGTGGCTCAGGAATCTCTAGTGTAACTTAACTTACATGATCTTCAACTTATGGCAAGGATACTTTTTGAATGTTATGTGCTGATCATGAAATTAGAACTTACAAGGTTCAAAGGTCAGCTTGTTACGTAAGTTGCTATATGTAAATTTGTATAGCTATATCTATCTATATATCTTTTTTCTTCTTTTCTCCTTTCCAAACCCTTCAGGTATTGTGTCGAGATCTGGCACTCTGACATACGAAGCTGTTCATCAGACAACTCAAGTTGGACTGGGACAATCCTTCTGTGTTGGTGGGTTTGAGAGAGGCTCAGTCAGTGTGTAAGAAAATACATATGATCTTAGCAACCACTTAAGAAATGCTAACTCCCATCCCACTTTGCATTAAATGTGCGTTTTGCAGTAGTGTTAAACCAAATTGCCCCCCAGGGTGGGGAGACACAACTGGGGAGGGGCAGTCTGATGACTGGGGCCACAAGTGGATGGATTATATGGCTGAGAGTTCAATTTTGCAAGTGAGAGTGAAAGGAGATGAGTGAATCCTAACTCTTTTATCCTGTATCTCTTTTGGCATCCCTTTGGTTCCACTCTGGTTGAATTCCAGAATTTCAGATTTAGGAAGTTCAGGCTGTAGTTTGCACATGTCTCCCAAACTGGTGTTACTGTGCAAATAAAAAGAAAGAGTTGCCTTCGGAAATTCATTTTCTAATTTACATTTGGCGTGTTGATTGGAAAGAGGCAGAAAAGGAAGCAGGAATTCTCTCTCACTTGACTTAAAAAAATCTGGCAGTTTACCTCTGGAACAGTTAACTGAGTCTGACATTTTGAGTTCTGCTCTGGTAAATGTGCCCAGCACAAGAGAATTTCAACACCAGGGTGAGAATCCAGAAGAGGAGGATTTTAACTGCTACAAATGAAGGTGAGGCCTTAAGCCAAGTCTTAGATACTGCATTCCTCCTTCAAAGTTGTAGCCTGCTGAAGGATTGCCATGGTAGCCTTAGGCCTTGGGTACCAATTCCTGTGCTAAAAGAGGGTATTCATAAATACAATTTGTGCTAAATGTGTAATGAAAAGGAAAGGAATGATGCTTCAATCTTCTTTTAACTTAATCTGAGGGCTGTATTCTTCACAATGTTTGCTGGAAACAGATTGTGATTTTACATCATTTTGGTAATTCTGCATCTACCGTAACTGAATATATGGGGTTATGCCCAACTAACTTCTATGCAAAGTTGACCCATCAAAATTAACTGACCAAAGCAAATAATGTACCTTAATTTCAGTGGGTCTGCTCAGAGTATGAGTAACATTGGCTACCATACAAAATGTTTCCCTCAGCTCTTTTGGTTGGTGTTTGCAGCCATATTTTCCACCTGTGGGGCAGCATCCAACAAAGTAGTTGCACTTGCACAAGGTTTTCCATTTTCACAATGGAACTATCCCTCGTCTCCCTGGGCACCTTCTTCACCCTCCCCAAATCTGCTTGCAAGGGTAACCCCTGGAACAGGGGAAGGGAACAGAGTGGGAAGGGAAGTTCCTATACAGAGGCAAAGATCCTTGCTCTGGCAGGACTACTTCATTGGAGAATGCTCTGTATCACAAGGTACAAGTTGGGAACGGCTTAAAGATTTGTGAAAAGGCAACTTAAAATCTCTGCATGTAAAGGTTGTGGTTTAGCTCTTTGGAGGCATAGATATTTACATGTAAAAGGCCCCAAATTCAATCCGCAAGATCCCTTCTTAAAGGTTTGCAGGTCATAGGGTTAAGAATGACTTCTCTTGAGAACCTAGCAACATAGATGGTTTCAAGGCAGCTGCTTATATTTTATAACTCACTTTTTATTAGCCATATACCAACTTTTTGTTGTCCTTTTCTGAAACCAGAAATATTGGTAGGGGCAGAACTGAATGACCCGATTGCCAGCTATTTAATGGCTGAAATGAAGCTCCAAGACTGTTTGTTATCCTTAACTGTGAAAGTGGGCAACTCAAGTTGGTGATCCTGAAAGTTCTGCAGCCCCTGTTAGTAGAATTGGTCTCTGGAAGAAATGTGCTGCTCTTAATAGGACTGTTTGAAACCTTTCAGGCATCGGAGGAGACCCATTCAATGGAACAAATTTTATTGACTGCCTGGATGTCTTCCTGAAGGATCCGCACACCGAAGGAATTATACTGATAGGCGAGATTGGTGGAAACGCAGAAGAGGATGCCGCTCAGTTCCTTAGGGAAAACAATTCTGTAAGCTTAAATATTTTGAGAGAGTGTCTCCTGTGCACATTCTGCTTATTGAGGAAGGAGGAGGGATAACCATTTTAAAAATCTGTTTGTATTCCACTCTTTTAAAGTCAATGGGTTGGGTCGAAAGGGTCCCTTTGGAAGGAATTTACACCCTTCACTAGAATGTTGCACAAGATGAAGCTAAATCCCAAAGATGTACTTGTGTGACCTCCTAAGTATAAGAACTGAGGTTGCTTCCAGATGGCATGTATGTTGGAACATTCATCCTGATTCCTTTGCATAAAATTTGCAGAGAGGTTATGCGATGTCACACTTCGCAGTGCATTTTCCTGTCCCTTTCCTTACTGCCAAAACACCAAAAGCCCAGTCCGAAGTGGGTTTGTTGCACACAAGCACCAAATCAACTATAACTCTGCAACCTGAATTTGCCACTGTGCAGTTGTATCCCACCAACAAAATAGCTGCCGTCCAGAAGCATCCCAAATCTCTCTTCATCACTCAAACGAAAGTTGCCTGTAGCACAATTAAGTACACCAAGCCCAGCAGAGAGATTAATCAATAACCTTTTGAAAGCCTGGCATTTTTAGGGTAAAAGCATTAAGTGGTTATTACATGCAGCTACATATTTGCTAGCTCCTCACCGTTCCCTATTAAACATAATGAAAATAACGGTGTAGACTATCTCACCAAATGGAAAGGAAGATTCACCCCATAAATTTATCCTGTGGGCTCATTTCTGGTGGTACCATTTTGCAGCAAATACTGCAGTTCCCCAAATTGCCTACGCAGGCAAATGGGCAATGAGTGAGTGAAATTTGCTCATACAACCAGACTGAGCCCACAAACTTGGGAATGGTTCACAGGATTGAGAGTCGTGTGTGTGGATTACTTATTTGTGACATACAAGGTGGTATTCAGAAGTTAATTGGCATGATTTAACATATGTGGGGGGACACGGGTGGCGCTGTGCTCTAAACCACTGAGCCTAGGGCTTGCCGATCGGAAGATCGGCAGTTCGAATCCCCGCAGCAGGGTGAGCTCCTCTTGCTCGGTCCCAGCTCCTGCTAACCTAGCAGTTCGAAAGCACGTCAAAGTGCAAGTAGATAAATAGGTAGTGCTCCGGCGGGAAGGTAAACGGTGTTTCTGTGCGCTGCTCTGGTTTCGCCAGAAGCGGCTTAGTCATGCTGGCCACACGACCCGGAAAATCTGCGGACAGACGTCAGCTCCCTCGGGCAGTAAAACAAGATGAACGCTGCAACCTCAGAGTCGTTCGCAACTGGACTTAACTGTCAGGGGTCCTTTACCTTTTTTTAACATATGTGTATTTTAATTTCAGTGGGTCTACAATGAGTAGGACTTGGTTGAATATCACCCACAGTGTTGCATGAATTGTTTTAGGGGCAGGTTTAAGGCATTCAAAATCTGTGTTTGTCCCATAAGGAAAAAGTAATACCTGATCCAGATGGTTTTTTTGCGCACAGCCACATTTTACTTGGAAGTGATTTCCCATGTTTGTGGAATATGTTGCCAGGAAGCTGTGGTCAAGTCCATAGGTGGCCAGAGTTGCATGATTGTTTCTCTGGAAACTCTTGGGCGCATCATGTTGAGGTTTCTTGAATAACTGGACCAGTCCCAGGAGCTTCTTCAAGGCCACAAAACATGGCTAGATTTGGATTTTGGTTTCTTGAGTCAGCCTTTGCACATCATTCTTCACTCAAAAGCTTTTATGGCCCAGCTACTACACATCTACAGTGGTACCTCTGGTTAAGAACTTAATTCATTCTGGAATTCCATTCTTAACCTGAAACTGTTCTTAACCTGAGGTAAAGTGCTAATGGAGCCTCCCGCTGCCGCTGCACCACTGCTGCGCGCTTTCTGTTCTCATCCTGAAGCAAAGTACTTAACCCGAAGTACTATTTCTGGGTTAGTGGAGTCTGTAACCTGAAGCGTCTGTAACCCGAGGTACCACTGTACTTCAATTTTCCACTTTGGCTTGCAAAACAATTAGCAAACCCCACCAAAGATGAAATTGTAACTTTAATCATTATCCCCTCTCCCCCAAAGTGGACTTTTTCTTGGTATATCTACCACTGGAGCTGTCTTCTAAAATCAAAACTACTTAAATATTTCCTTGGTGGCCTATACATGAGCTATACAAGCTTGATCCTTACGGGAATTTTGTTGTACTCACTTCCCTCCTTTTCTCTGCCCAGAACTCTCAGGTTGTTTCCTTATCTCTGCCCCTAATCCTCGGGCTGGTGCTTTGGCTTGAATGTCTTTTTCTTGTCCAACCACGCCAATAACTGTGCTCACTGGGGTAGTTGCAACTCTGCTTTCTCTTTCTCGCCCCTCTATTAAATGATTCCTCTTTTGTCACAGGGCCCAAACGCCAAGCCAGTCGTCTCGTTTATAGCTGGAGTCACCGCGCCTCCAGGCAGAAGGATGGGCCACGCGGGGGCTATCATTGCCGGTGGGAAAGGTGGAGCGAAAGAGAAAATTGCTGCCCTACAGAATGCTGGCGTCGTCGTCAGTATGTCTCCTGCTCAGCTGGGCTCTACTATATACAAGGTTAGTTCAGCAGCCATTTAGAAGTTCAAGGGCACGGTGCTGCTCCTCTGCAACTTAAAGGCAATGGAGCTTGCCAGGATGTTGCCAGAAACATTGGGCAGTGTGAAAGATGTTCTTCTTCATTCCTATGAACAAGGCTTTTGTTGGGTTGGGTTTCTTTCAATGCAACAGGCGTGGTAGAAGTATGCAGATTTAGGTTGTTGGGCAATCTGGTTTTCAACGTCATGATATCTCACCATCATCATGTATGTCAAGTATGCATGTTAGAAGTTGGTGAATTCGCAAGGCATGATATGCTGGCAGGCGAAGCGAGAAACTGGTTTTATCAAGGAAAAATGTATAGCTGTGTCCAAAAGAACATTGGTTTTGCTTAATGAAAGCAAAAATCCCCTGGTAAAAACGGGACGGAACTGGCAATGAACAACAGTAATAAATATCCTCTGAAAAGAACAAAGACAAGGAAGAATTAATGGTGGGCCACGGAAGGCCTGAAACACATTGTATGTATTTCTGAGGTACAACAGCAAGGGTGACGTGGTGGTCCAGAAGGAGAACAGGAGGAGAGTGGCAGAAACTCAGTCGTTCTAAAAGCCAGCCCATAGACGTCAAGGGGGAAGAAGACTATAAAAAGGGCACTCTGCTTACCCTCAGCGTGGTAACTTGGTTCTTTTGAAATCCGGAGAGCCAAGTGATATCCCGTATGCTATAGGACTTTCAATAAGACAGGTCGGAGACCAGATCTCGGTTTACACACCTTTCATGTAACATTTATTTCATATAGTCAAGTATACATTAATAAATTGGCCCGAAGAGGTTCAAACACTCACACATTCACACAAATATTCACACAAGGCCCTTCACATGGGTTGATCAAGCCTCACGTAAGAGCTGTGGGTTTTGGGCTGTAGCGCTGGTCCCAACGATGCTGAGGGTAAGTAGAGTGTCCTATTTATTTATTTATTTATTTATTTCTCTTGTTCATCGCCAGTTCCACCCTGTTTTTATCAGGGGATTTTTGCATTGGGATTTTTGCTTTCATTAAGCAAAACCAATGTTCTTTTGGACACAGTTATACATTTTTCCTTGATCAAACCAGTTTCTCAGACAGGAACGAAGATTTGGAGATAGGCTTCAGTGGTCCAGACTATGGGGAGCCCAGAAAAATTAATAATTACAATTTGGACTATAATTTGGTCGCTTTTTTATTTTAATTCATTGTTTTTAATTGGATTAGATTATGATGTGGATATGATGATTGGCTGTTTTTACTGGAAAATCAATAAAAATGATTTTTTTAAAAAAGGAAAAAACCAGTTTCTCACTTCGCCTGTCAGCATATCATGCCTTGCGAATTCTCCATCTTCTTTTGGGCCTAACATTCATACTTGACATATACCGATATCTCACTGTGTCTGATACAAGGATGGAGCTGCGCAGAGGCATTGGCTGGCTTCACGGCTTTTCCCGCATCATGATTTTTGCCGGCGCCTGCTCTTGTTAATTGCTGGGCCCTACAGGAGGTGGGAGAGAGCTGAGCTGGCAGAGTTTACAGCGGCTCTTTTCCCCTTGTAATGTGGGTTAGGAAAAATAGCGAAAGTCATAGTTGGGACATCGAAGATTGCAGTCAGTTTGCCAAAAGTTGCCACGGACCCTCAGAAGCTGCTCAGAGTCTAAAGCTGTCAGTTGAGCTCCCTGCAGTGAAGCGACCTGGCCTCTCTGTGATAACAGAGTATGTTCCTAGTGTTCTCCAGCTACGTCACTGCAAGCCCATTGTGACCCTGAAAACAGGCCAGCCAATGCCATTGAGAAGGGCAGAGCGGCCAGACAGGGGCCAGGTTATGGAAGAGATTGCAGATGTTAAAGGTGGTAAACTCTGGCAGAAAGGATGGTTTGGCAAATGCTTGTCCCAACTCTAATGAAACCTTGTCTCCGTCTTTATCCCTCAAGGAGTTTGAGAAGAGGAAAATGCTGTGAGAGGAGGAGGAGGAGGGGATCCGTCCGAACATGCCACTGCAGAAATACCACCTCCCTCTGTGCTGCTCACCTGCTGATTTTTCTTTTCTCGAATATAATTGACAACGGTCTTCTGAATTCAGCTTTAAAGCCATCAGGTTTCATTTCAGTGGCTCCTTTGTCCAGACATAATTGTACATCATAGCAAACGAATAAATCTACCACTAAACTTGATTATTTGAAATCCTGGAGCTTGGTAGCTTTTTCTTACAACTTTCCTCAAATCACTTTATTAAAACTCTTTAACTATCTGGAAGCTTTAAGAATGGATATACTTTAAAGTAAAACTGCTTTTTGTTTCTGCTATGGGCTTTTCGGCTTTTATTTTTGATGGACAATTGTCCTTGACATAGAAATTGGTGCCAAATCCTATTGGTCTAGTACATCAGGCAGAGCTTAGTGGCGTGCAAATGAATCATTAAGCTTTCCTGAGTCCATAGAGTGCTGGTGGCGATCACAGTTATCTTCAGGAGGGAACTATAACGTATGCAGCTTTCACAAAACACCAAATTTATTCACCAGCAATGCAGTGAGGTCTGAAGACTCAGTTGGAAGTAGTAGAGCCGTCTTCGCCAACCTGATGCCCTCCAGATATTTTGGGCTGCAGCTTCTATTAATCCTAGCCTCCATTGGCCTCGTTGTCATCAACTCCAGCACTTCATGGGCATGCTGGCTAGGACAGGTGGGAGTTATAGTCCAGTGTACCTGTAGGGTGCCAGGTTGGCAGAGGCTGTAAGCAGTGCCTGAGGCCAGCTGTGTCTCTCTCACACTGTGTCCAGATGTTTTATCTGAATGCCAAGCCCTGCCCATATTGTACAGGTAGGTGGGGCTGTAGCTTTTAGATCAACTTGCATAGATGGAAATGATTTAAAACACACTCCAAAGTGCATGCAGGGAGAGCAAAGAGTAGTGTTCTCCCTGGATGTTTTTAATTGTTTCATTGATCAGCAAATGCTTTAGCAAAAGGCCTACTGGGTCTGTCCCATGGCAAGTGACCTTAAGCCATCTGAGTTGCATTCTGGGAGGGGCAAGGCGATGGCGAGGTTGGTGCAGTGCAAGGATGCCAGCAGAGCCAATCCTGGCAACACGTTTACACCGCACCAACCTCGCCACTGCACCAACCTCGCCACCGCTTCCCCCTCTCCATCCTGGTATGCAGCAGTGACTCAGCCACAGAACCCCACTACTTGCTATAGGCAATTTGCTGCAGCCATGACAAATCTGATATTTTCCCTGTCCGCTTCTTGAAAACAAGCCACTGTCCATTGGATGATGGCAGGTCCTTGATTTTTACTAAACGGATCTCTTATTATTTCTAAAGCATGTAATAAGGAGTTCTGTGCATAGTTACTCAGAAGCAACTGCTGCTGTTGGTATCCTCCAGAATGTATTTTCTCCTAAACTGATTCCAGCAGTCATGTGGACTTCATACATAAATCCTGCTTCAGAAAAAGTCCTTTCATAGCCCTTGTGTTTTTCTTTTTTTAGGTTCTGCCCCCTTTGCTTTTGTCTCTGTGCTGCTTTCTCTTTAATTGCAAACTGCTTGTGCAATTTTCTGTGTGGGCTGTCAACAACATGGACTTCAGTTGCAAAATGTCTGAGCGGAACAACACATTTCCCCATTTATAAAAAAGCCTGATTTTCATCTTCTTTTTACTATTAGTATTTTCACCTTGAAAGTTTTTATGGTTCCAAAGAGCCACACGGCAAATTCTGAAGCCTATGAGGTGTTTAACCTTCCTGGCCATCAGTCTGTGAAATGGGAGGGAGTTTCAGCTATTCAAAGGCACGAAGTATCGAGACCCCCCCAGTGGGCGTGTCTAAAGGTGGTTCTTTTCCATCGCAACCGTAGTTATCCCGAGAGAAGCTATATTTATACCACTTTGTACAATGCTGGCCTAATACTTCTCTTGCTCTTACTTGTGTTGTACCCTAGCTTTTTCTGTGCAACTGCTAATGAGTTACTGCAGCTTTTCAAAAAGAGAGAGAGAGAGAAAAAAAATCTACCTGAATATATTTTCTGCAAATAATTACCAATGATTCTCTGCTGACAAGTTTTGCTACTTACAGGCATACATAAAATGTTACGCTCGTAAATGAGCTTTACGAGCTATAGCGGAATTTGATGGTGTTTCGGTTTGCTTTCATTATGAACGGAAATAAAATCAAGTAACGCAAAACGGAGCTGGCTGCTTGTGTAGATTGGGGTACCTTTAAAAAGAAAGCCAATCTGTAAAGGAGGACCTTTGGGAAAGGGGGAAGACGGAGGAGGGGTGAGAACCTGTGGATATGATTTTCAAAATGTCGGTGTTGCTCATTTTTATCAAACATACCCAAAGTGCTTTCTGTATACAAATTGAGACCGATTCCCAACTTGCTCTTGTCCACTGCCTGCCTTTCGTGGGAAAACTAAAATGACAAATTTTGAGCCCATCTCAAAGTGCCAGTGTCATTCCTAATTAAAAAGTGTGGCAGGCTCTGGTAATTCAATGCTGAGGGACTTGCACTCTGTGCAGACTCAGAGACTGCATGCCCACTGAGCGAACGATGCAAGCATAGAATTTGGTATTACCGAAAATGACAGCTTGCAAGATTTCTGGGGTTTTTGGGGGGTTGGGGTTGGGGAATGCTACTAGGAGTCAAGGCTGTGATGGAAGTATGTGGGTGCAATCCAGCGCAGAGAACCAGCTCTAAATGTCCTGTTGGAACACGTTAGAATGCTTGAGGGTGTCCCTTGTGAATAGCCATTGAAATCAATGGACAAACAGCTTAACATCATTAAATTTTTGAGTATAATGAAGGTTGGATATCACCTCTCTAATAATCCAACCCATCGTGTGTGTGTGTTTTTTTTTTTAAAGCAAAAATTATTTTGGGGGAGTAGGGTCCTAACTGGAGTTTGCTCACCTGCTTTTGAGTTCAACGGCAGCTGCTGACTCTAGCGACACTAACTAGAAACAACATAAGGAGCTGCATCTGAGCCAGTGGTCCATCTAGTGCAATATTTTATGCACTGATTGGTGCTCCAGGGTTTCAGATGGGAAACAGCTCTGGTTCTACCTGGAGTTCATAGAATTGTAGAGTTTGAAGGAACCACAAGGATCATCTAGTCCAACCTTGTGCAACAGAGGAATCTTGCCCAATGTGGGGCTCAAACTCATGACCCTGAGATTAATAGTCTCATGATCTACAGACTGAGCTCTCCCTGCATTCAGCACACCCCTTCTCCCAGGAGCAGCTGTATGCAGGTATACACTTTCTGTGCTGCAGATTAGGGTTGCCATGTGTCCTCCTTTACAGAGAACTATTGTCTGTTTGAAAGGATGTCATAGGAAGCTGTCATACACTGAGTCAAGACTGTTGATCCCTCTAGCCTGTATTGTCTACCCAGAATGGCAGCAGCTCTCCATTTCAGACATCCCCAGCCTTTTGCAGGAGATGCCTGGAGATTGACATTGGCATCTTTTGCATGTGGAGAAGGTGCTCTGCCACTGAGCTTTGCCCTTCTCCAAAGGGAAGATAACTCTTGTTCTCTTTTCTGCCCACGTCAAGCAACATGGAGCTCAAAGCCGGGGGTGTGATGTTATTAGCACGATACTGTGACCATTGGTCTCTGGAAGTCTTATTTCCTGCCCTCAACTGCTAGGCAACACAGAAGAAGGGGAATCCATATTGGTCCTGTCCATAGTTACTGAAGGGATCCTGAGACTCATCCACACGCTGCAATACAGGAATCACAACTAAGAATCCCTGGCAGATGGCCATCTAACCTGTGCTTAGAAACCTCCAATGAAGGAGAGCCCACCACTTTCCGAGGCCATCGCAAACTGTTCCTCAACCCTTGGTGAGTTACACAACGTCGTATCCAATGTTGCTCTTCCACTTCCATAGCAGATTTCCACTTGTTCCTCTTCTCCCTTCGCTCCTTTTTCTCCCCCTGTGTGCCCTGAAAATTGGCTCCAGAGGCTTGGAGGATACTCCAGGGCAGTTTTTGAGAGTGAGCACAAAGGAGAAGTCCTGTTGCATGAGCAGAACACCCATGTGCACAACACTGGATACAGCCCACATTGCCTGTGTGCTGTAGAGACGGGCATTTAAATTGTGCAGCAAGATACCATTGCATGGAGCTTCCTTGGATAAAACAAGGAGCCAACTACAGTGGTGCCCCGCAAGACGAATGCCTCGCAAGACGAAAAACTCGCTAGACGAAAGGGTTTTGCAGTTTTTGAGCTGCTTCGCAAGACGAATTTCCCTATGGGCTTGCTTCGCAAGACGAAAACGTCTTGCGTTTTTTGCAAGTTTGTTTCCTTTTTCTTAACACCGTTAATACAGTTGCGACTTGACTTCGAGGAGCAACTCAGAATGCGGTGTGGTAGCCTTTTTGAGGTTTTTGGTGATTTTTGAAGCTTTTCCAAAACTTTTCCGACACCGTGCTTCGCAAGACGAAAAATTCGCTAGACGAAAAAACTCGCGGAACGAATTAATTTCGTCTTGCGAGGCACCACTGTATTTTATTGATTGCATTCATATCCCATCTTTTCCTCCGAGGAGCTCAAGGTAGCACACATGGTTCTCCCCTCTTCATTTTCTCCTCCCAACAACCTGGTGAGGGAAATTAGACTGGCGTAGAATGCCTGTAGCTAAGCACTCCTCCAGGGAGCACACTCTATTTTGAACTGGAGTATGGACTTTTGTAACTTTTAAGGGTTATTGCCTGGCTTCTTTTCAACACTGCAACTGTTGAATCCTGGTAATACTTTTAAGTGAGTAAACTTTATATTTTTCTTGTTCACTTAAACAGCCTGAGAGTGATTTCTTTGTTAAGAGGGAAACATAAAGTGGGAAGATGTCCTAAGTCTGCCTAAAGCATCCTTTGATATCATAATTGTTCTAGAAGGTTATGCAATTTTCTCCTAAAAAAAGGCTTCTAAAGATAAGCGGTACACGGATGGTGACATTACCCTGATGAAATAGGCAATTGCTTTCTCACACAAGTGAGAAAAGGAGGAAGGTTAATAAATAAATAATATATCCTCTCCTACTCATCTAAATCCATACAGCAAGATAGACAGCTGAGAGTCTTTCTGATCGAATGCTAGGGAGCCGAGGGACCTGGGAGAAAATCAAGACTGCATCCCCTCGCCCTACAGCTCACTGCTTTTTAGTACAGCAGCCTTTATCGCTGGACTTTGCCCTTTGCTATTCTGTGCTCCAGCAAATGCAGAAGCCGGAGTTTATTGCATCCAGTTTTATGGTTGGTATAAAAGCAATAGCAGCGGGGGTTTTCTGCAGGAGCCTTGCATTCATAAATCTGAAATGCAAAGTGTTCAGAACCTCCGCAGTGTCAGGGATGCCTGAGTCCACAGAAACCAATGGACTCAGGTGTGCTAAAGATTGGGCTGTCTGGCATTTAGAATGGCCAGACATTGAAAACTTAACTTCTCTGTTGTTGACAATCAGGGTCTGGGGAAACAGGTATCATAAGCAGAGGCTTGGGAAATTGTTCACTCATTTTTCAGACCATATTCCCTTCAGGGGGTGGGAGTAGGGAACATACCAATGGTGGGCAGGACCAGAGGAAAAAGTAGGTGGAGAAACAAAATATACTGTTGTGCATTAGGCTATGCGCTCTCTCTCTCTCTCTCTCTCTCTCTCTCTCTCTCTCTCTCCTCCTTATCCAAGCGTGGAAGAGTCTTTATCGGGGTTCAGGGCCCCACTCCAGCCAAGCAAATATTCTGAAGGAGGAAGCAAAGCAGGGGAAGATAAGGGCATGTCTAGGGAGGGGGTGCGGTGTGGGGAGAGCCTCAGGGGCCAGGTAGTTGTAGAGGGCCACATTTGGGCCTGAGGTTTTCTACCCCTGCCTATAAAAAGCTAATGCATTCAGACGCTTCAAAGTAGTTCAACAAGTTCACCTGTTGGAGAGGATAAAAGGAAAGGAATGTCTTTGCAACTTTCTAAAACACTCGATTTTGCTGTCTTGTTAAAAGTTTTGAAACAGTAAAAAAATAATAAAGCCAGCGTGAAGATAGGTGCCATCATCCTAACGATGTGTTGCTCTGATTCCTCTGAGAGTTGTTAAAAAGCTAGGAATTATTTTCTCATGATGAAAAGGGAAATGGAAACAGCTCATGTGAAAAGGTTGCTTTGTCAGGTCCTGTTTTAATGTCTGAGCAATAACAGTATTAGAGGGGAAATGTATTCTCCTGCAGTGTTGTTCATCACGCTCCTAGAATTTCCGTACTGACTTCTGTCTGATTCCTGGCAGAAATTGATTTAAAGAGCATCATCATCCTGTTCAAAGATGTGGAAGGCTCTGAGCTAGAGAAACGTGAAGGTTGTTTGAGATTTCTTCAAAGATTTAAGGGCCGAGTTGCTGCAATGATACTGGATTGTCTCTGAAAAGAGCAGCTGGCTGGGCACAAATGGATTTTGCCAGATGCAATAATAATAATGATCAGCTGTCATCTAACAGAGAGAACTTCCCATCATATCTGGGATCTTGCATGCAAAAGATGCAGCCTGGTTTTCCTCTCTCGACACCTTAGGGTGCTTCCGGACGACCTGTTTCTTGAGCGTTCATCCTGTTTTGTTTGCTGGGAGATTAGCAACTTAAGAAGTATTCATTCCAATTTGTTTGTGGAAAGGTTAGATGGTGATGCATCAAAGCAAGTGCTATCTCACACTTTCAACTGCATTTCCCCATCACTTAACTCAAAAAATACCTCATCTATTGGAGAAGGGGACTTGTTGAGTGAAAATTCCAAATCAACTCTGATTGTGCAGCCTGAATTTGCCGGTATGTCATTGAATCAACCCCAAAATGGCAGTTATCTAGAATAACCCTTAGTTAAAATTGGAAAGTGCTACCATGGGCCAATCCCAGCGCACACACTGCCCACTGGGAATGATGGTCATGTTCAAGGACATGAATTGCTGCCATGTAGTAGTAATAGTAGTAGTAGTAGTAGTAGTAGTAGTAGTATTAAGGTAAAGGGACTCCTGACCATTAGGACCAGTTGCGGACGACTCTGGAGTTGTGGTGCTCATCTTGCTTTATTGGCCGAGGGAGCCGGCGTACAGCTTCTGGGTCATGTGGCCAGCATGACTAAGCCACTTCTGGTGAACCAGAGCAGTGCACGGAAACGCCATTTACCTTCCCGCCAGAGTGGTACCTATTTATCTACTTGCACTTTGCTGTGCTTTTGAACAGCTAGGTTAGCAGGAGCTGGGACCGAGCTGTGATGGCCTGGGAATCCGATTCAGAGGCTGAACCGGAGGAATCCCAGCCTGCACAGGAGTCCCTGCCTCCAGGGCCGGCTGAACTGGGGCAGGGCCTTGATTCTGAAGCGCCTGCACCTGTGCCGGATCCTCAGGAGCAGGCACCAGGTGAATCCACTCTGGCTCCGGAGGTGGTTGAGGACTCAGTGCCTACAGGTGAGTCTCCCCCTGGGTCCAGTAACCCTTCAGCCTCTCCTGAACTGCAGAGGCTCAGGGCATAGAGGCAGAGGGAACTGGTTTCTCCCAGGAGGAGTGCTCGCCTTAAGGCCAGGAGAGGCAGGTCTCCTGGGGGCCGGGACCGCCCCTGGCCTCAGAGAACATAAAGGCCAGTCAGCCCGGTCCCAGGTTGCGGGAGCAACATCTTTGAAGAGCTGTTTCGGCCAGCACCCAGTCCGGTTCCCCCAGAGTTCCCGTCCTTGCCCGGCTCCTCGCTGTGGACCCCGCTTTACCCGTGGAGGACTGTCTGCCGACCCTCGACTCAGGTCCTGGACCTCGCCCCACGGTAACCTCCCCCCTGGACCAGCACACGAGCAATGGGAGCTCACCCCATCGCAGGGATTCGAACCGCGACCTTCTGATCATCAGGCCCTAGGCCTAGGCTCTGTCGGAATCCACAGCGCCACCCGCATCCCAGTAGTAGTAGTAATTATATAAAGGCAAAGGTAAAGGTGGCGCTGTGGGTTAAACCACAGAGCCTAGGACTTGCTGATCAGAAGGTCGGCGGTTCGAATCCCACATGACCCGGAAGCTGTACGCTGCCTCCCTCGGCCAATATAGCGAGATGAGTGCCACAACCCCAGAGTCGGCCACAACTGGACCTAATGGTCAGGGGTCCCTTTACCTTTTACCTAAAGGTAAAGGACTCCTGGATGGTTAAGTCCAGTCAAAGGAGACAATGGGGTTGCAGCGCTCATCTCCCTTTCAGGCTGAGGGAGCCAGCGTTTGTCTGTAGACAGCTTTCTGAGTCATTTGTCCAGCTTGACTAAACTACTACTGGTGCAACCGAAACACCATGACCGAAACCAGAGTGCATGGAAACACCGTTTCCCTTCTCACCACAGAGGTACCTATTTATCTACTTCCACTGGCGTGCTTTCAAACTGCTAATATTTATATGCTGCTCATCTGACTGGGTTGCCCCAGCCACTCTGGACGGCTCCCAACAAAAAATAGTAAAAACACAATACAACATCAAACACTAAAAACTTCCCTGAACAGGGCAGCTTTCAGATGTCTTTTAAAAAATCAGGTAGCTGTTTATCTGTTTGACATCTGCTGGGAGGACGTTGGGAGGAGATGAAGCAGGTGTCTTCTCTGCTGCTCCTGAGCGCAAGATGAGTTCCAGTGCATGACAATGGCAGGGAAGTAGATTTGGACTAAATATTGGGAGAAATGTTCCAATGGGAAGAGCGGCCAGACAGCAGAACAACCTTCCTCCAGAAGTATTGTGTTCTCCTTCACTGGCGAGGCTGGGTGACCATTTTGTCAAGGATGCTGTTGTCACAGACTCCCCACACTGAGCGAAAGGTCAAACTAGTCAGCCTCCAAAATCTCTCCCAACTCTGAAATTCTATGATACCTCTTTTTAAAGGGCAGAATATGAACCAGGGACACCCGGGTACAGACTGGTGTGCAGCTACAATCTCAGAGCTGATGCTTAAAGTTGTATGCAATAGTTTGAATGCATGAAGTATGAATTTATATTTATGGTTTTAAATGTGATTTGCTTGGAGACCTTTTAGGTAGCAAGCGACTAATAAGCTGAGTAAGTCTAATAATTAAAGCGGCTCAACAGTGGAATTTTGGAAGGTGCTGGGCTCTCCTCCACTGTGGTTTATAAACAGAGGTTGAATGGCCATCTGTCAGGGATTATTTAGCTGTGTTTCCTGCATTCAATTTTAGAATCGCAGAACTGTAGAGTTGGAAGGGACCTGTAGGGTCATCTCATCCAACCCCCTGCAGTGCAGGAATCTCAGCTCAAACATCCGTGACAGATGGCCATCCAACCTCTGCTTAAAAACCTCCAAAGAATGAGAGTCCACCACCTCCTGAGGGAGACTGTTCCACTACTGAACAGCTCTTACTGTCAGAAAGTTTTTCCTTATGTTTAGTCGGAATCTCTTTTCTTGCAACTTGAAGCCATTGGTTTGAGTCCTACCCTCCAGAGCAGGAGAAAAGAAACTTGCTTCATCTTCCACGTCACAGCCCTTAAGATAATCAAAGATGGCTATCACATCTCCTCTCAGTCTCCTCTTCCCCATGCTAAACGTACGCAGCTCCTTCAACAGTTCCTCATAAGGCTTGGTTTCCAGACTCTTGGTCATCTCAGTTGCCCTCCTCTGCACGCCTTCCAGCTTGTCCACATCCTTCTTAAATTGTGTTGCCTAGAATTGGATACAGTATTCCAGATGTGGTTTGACCAAGTCAGAATAGAGTGGTTTGACCAAGTCAGTACTTCCCTTGATCTGGATACTACAATTCTGTTGATGCAGCCTAGAATACTATTAGCTTTTTTCTTCTTCTCCTGCTGCAACTGTTGACTGACGTTAAGCTTGTGGTCTGCTAAGACCCCTAGATCCTTTTCACATGTACTGCTAGTAAGCCAAGTGTCCCACATCCTATCTTTGTGCATCTGGTTCTTCCTGCCTAAGTGCAGAACCTTACATTTGTCCCTGCTTAAATTCATTTTGTTAGTTCGCAGGGGGTTGAGCTAGATAACCTATGGCGTCCCTTTCCAACTCTACAGTTCTATTGTTCTATAATAGTGGTCTTCACATGGCTTCTAGTGGCCCTTGTAAACCAGGCAGCGGATTAAGCCCAAACACAGGGGGACCAGTGACTCTCTGGCAACTCCATAACTTTGCACTGAGTTTGCAAGAAATGAAACGGAGTCCCTTGTATAGCTATGCCAGATCAATCCAGGCCATTTTCATGAAGTGCAATCACAGATACACTGACAACTACACTTTAACAATGGGGAGAAAACCAGGGGCAAGTGCTTTTTCATGTTCACCAATAAACAATCCTTCCAGCCTAAACTCACTTATATAACTACTATGAGTCATCCCTGCAATTGTAGCCTTTCAGTGTTTCAAAGCACACCAGCCACCTAGACCGTCTGGGACTTGTATAATTCTCTCCCCAGAGCAGCATCAGTTTAAAGAACACCATCCTCTCTTCACAGAGCCAATCTTTCTTCCCGTAATTAGGAAAAATGGCACCAAATAAAAGTGTTGAACGGGTAGCTAGTCCTTGGGGGATTGACTCTGAGCATCTTAGAAGCTGTAAGGCAGGGAGAAGGAACTTCAGGCCCAGATTCCAAATGTGGCCCTCAGGCCTCTCCATCCGGCCCTCATGATTCTCTCCAGGCCACACACCCTCCTGAGCTGCACCGCTCACCAGTCCAGCTTTGCACCTTCCTTGGGTGTACTTGCCTAACTGTGATGTCCTTGTACTCTGCTGATATTTGTTGTCCTTGTACTCTGCTGATATTTGTTGCTTGTCTGGAGGACAGAGATAAATGTATGAGTATGAAAAAAAACAAAAAACTCTCCTACTGTACACAGGTAAAAATCTTATTTATTCCTGTGCCTGCTTTTGCCCGTGATGCTGTCCATCATTGGCAATTGGCCCCCAAATGTTTCCCAGGAGGAAATGTGGCCCTCAAGCTTGTCGCTCCTTGTGCTGTACTGAAATAAGTGCATCTTTTGCCTTATAATGAATCTTTGCAGCTAACTGGGTACGCAACCAACAAGACATCCATCCCTAGGGGTGTCAATATATGCTTATTTGGCAAATGTGCAAGAATATTCTGCACAGAGTTCTACCAGTCAGTGTTATTAGATCCCTTACATTCTCAGCAGAGTTTTAGTTCCAAGAGATATTGGAGTAGCTGAAGTCTACCATGACTACCATATCTGTTCTAGGAAGAAATCATCCAAGTCTTCAGTCTGCCTTGGAAATCTATAGCAGACACCTATAGTAAGGTCAGGGTTGTTTCTTTTTTCTACAATTTTTACTCATATGCTCACAATCTGCCTTCCATGCACCAGGTCATGGATCTCTTCACAGGTGTACACATCCCTTACATATAGTGTTACTCCTCCTCCCTTCCTGTTTGGTTTATTCCTTTTGGGCAGGTTATACCCCTCAATTCCTCCATTTCAGTCATGAGACTCATCCCGCCAGTTTTCAGTAAAAGGTAACAGTAAAGGACCCCTGGATGGTCAAATCCAGTCAAAGGTGACTATGGGGTTGTGGTGTTCATCTCGCTTCAGGCCGAGGGAGCCAGCATTTGTCCGCAGACAGCTTTCTGGGTCATGTGACCAGCATGACTAAACTGCTTCTGGCGTGAGAGGACACCGTGACGGAAACCAGAGTGCACAGAAATGCTGTTTACCTTCCCGCCGCAGCGGTACCTATTTATCTACTTGCAGTGTTGTGCTTTTGAACTGCTAGGTTGGCAGGAGCTGGGGCAGAGCAATGGGAGCTCATATTTGCCATCCTGTTTTAAGAGCTCAGATTCGTCTTGCTTGTTTCCCATACTCTGTCAACCAATAACAGCATCCTGGAGAATTTACAACAGAGGGAATGTCATCTGGAAATGAAAGCAGGAAGGGAATGCAGCTTGAGTGGCAGATTCCTCTTCTTGAATGAGGGTTATTTAATGTGAAATAAACACTCAATCTTCTTTTTCCCTCCAGGGCCAGTAAGCATTCTTCCAGCAGTTCTCAGCATGCAAGCCAAAGCAATGAATCAGGACCAGTCTGGAAGATTAAGAAACTTAATAAAACCTAGTTTCCCCCTTCTGCTGCTGGTACAAGTAGGTGGGTGGTAGATTATTGTCCCAAACAGGGTAAAAACATTAGAAGAGTTATGCTGGAAGAGATCAAAACATACAAGTGAAAACAGTGTGATGCAGCAGCAAAAACAAAACAAAAACCTAATGCTGTTCTAGGCTGCATTACCAGAGGTGTCCCGATCAAGGGAAGTAATAGTACCACCATTTTATTAGGGTTCTGTCACACTTTGGAGGAAAAGGGGAGAATGACTGAGACACATTTGAGCAAGGTCAATTTGCGTTCAGAGTTAGAAATGTCAGAAGCAGCATTTTGACTTGTGTAGCCACTTCTGACTCTTAGTTATCTCACATAATCATAGAATTGTAGCGTTGGAAGGGGCCATGAGAGTAAAAGTATTTTGCCCAACGTGGGGCTCGAACCCATGACCCCAAGGTTAAGAATCTCCTGCCCCACCAACTGAACTATCCCAGGTGAACTGCCGTTGTGAGTGAGATGCAGAGAGAACCCTGGAAGGATTGCCAGCGATGAGCAACAACCTCCCTCTGCCCCCAGATGCTAGGACAGATGGAGAAATCCTGCTGCCCTAAACTCAGTGGAAAAGACCACGCAGAGAACCTCTGAAGGCAAATCTCCACATCTGTCAACCTGGCCTGGTGTTCTGCAGGCCTGCGTCTTCCCCTGAAGAAAAGTCCTTTGGCCTCTAAATCTTTCAACAGCGGCTTCAGCTCCGGAGCTCGTCTCCCTCGCGAGCTTTTGTACCTGTGCTTCAGAGATAGGAAACCATTAATCCTCCAGCTAATCCGTGTTGTTGGCACTTCAGCCAGCCAGCCCTGCAAAGATAGCTAGGCCTTATGGAATTTCATTCTTTTTCAGAGAGAGAGAAGATGCGATTAAGGTGGAATGCATCTTTGCAGGCAGCGAAAACCAAGCGGCCCTCTCTCCTGTGCCCATGATGTGTAGAAGCATAGGAAGCTACCTTATGATGAATAAACCCCTTGATCCATCTAGCTCAGTAATTTATACACCAACCAGAAGAGGCTCTCCAGAGTTTCAGTTCCACCCCTACCTGGAGATGCTGCAGAATTGAACCTGGGACCTTTTGCATGCAAGAGCTGTGTCCCTTTATGTCACTTCTTACTGTTGGCATCTGCCTGTCTTGGGAGACAATGCAGTGTGCCTCTGGGAGTGAAGTCAAAGCACTGTGTTAGCAGCACTGAAGTCACCTCCTTGGGCACAAGCCTGGGCAGAGTGTTTGGAGGTTCTGGGCTGCCCTGGAGAAGGTAAAGGACCCCTGGGCAGTTAAGCCCAATCAAAGGCGACCATGGGGTTGCAGCACTCATCTTGCTTTCAGGCCAAGGGAGCCGGCGTTTGTCCACAGACAGCTTTCTGGATCACGTGGCCAGCATGACCAAGCTGCTTCTGGCGCAATGGAACATCGTGATGGAAACCAGAGTGCACAGAAACGCCATTTACCTTCCTGCTACAGTGGTACCGATTTATCTACTTGCACTGGTGTACTTTCAAACTGCTAGGCTGGCAGGAGCTGGGACAGAGCAATGGGAGCTCCCCCCATCATGGGGATTTGAACTGCTGACCTTCTGATCGGCGAGCCCAAGAGGCTCGGTGGTTTAGACCACAGCACCACCCGCATGCCCAGGACAAGACCCTCCTCTCAGCTATGCAAGTGTGATCTTAAGGAAAACAGAGCAATACTTTTGGCACCAGGAGTTGACTTCACTCCAGATTTGGGTAGGGTTTACTCCTTAGTTAACAACAACAACAACAATTTATATACTGCCCATCTGACTGGGTTGCCTCAGTCACTCTGGGCAGCTTCCAATAGATTAAACACATTAAGCATAGTAAAACACTGAACATTAAAAAATTCCCCATATTTCTTTTCCTGAACATTTCCCACAAGGCAGTGGAGGTTTAGGAGCAGAGTTTTCTGATACGGGCTCCCTTCCCAAGTTGACAAACCTCACCTACCCCTCACTTCCCTCTTCAGCACGTGCAGAAACTGCCTTCTTGACTTTTGGACCCACTATTGGTCTGCTGAATTCTCCAGAGCCTGACTTCACATGCAGTGGAAGTCTCACAGAGACCCAGTGGCAACCCCCACCTGGTTTAGCTGGCTAGTTGAAGCTTATAGGAGCCACAGATGAGAGATGAGTGTAGGTAGACTACTTCATATTACTTCTTCATTTCACTTCTTCAGATCGTTCATGCTCCACCTTATTTAAAAGGGCATCAAGGAGTTTAAGAACAGGCAGCCTCACCAGAAAAATACAAACTGTATCAAAAGCAGCTGAGAAGTCTAGGAAACTTGACACTCCCTGTCTATCTTCAGGGCAAAGGCAGTTTCAGTCGCAAAAACAGGCCTGACCCCCAGTTGAAATGGATCTAGAAAATCAGTTTCTTCAAAGGGTGGATTTGGATATTATTGTTCTTGACACTTAACATCTGAGTTTTCTGATATTCGTGACTGATCATGGCTTCTTTTTGAGACCACATGTTGACTTTTGCAGCAAAGCATAAGAACGAAAGTGGATCCAGACCAGTGTCTTCTTTTCCACAGTGGCCAATCTGATTTCTCTGCAAAGCCCACAAAGAGGACAAGAGCACAACCAGTTGCCCCATGAAGTGGTGTTCAGTTGCAAGCTGCCTCAGATCCTGAGGAGGGCACATAGCCCTATTGGCATTGACCCATGACAGGGACTTCTTGGTGTTAGCTCCCTATCTCTGAAATGCCCCTCCTGGTGAGGTACTGTACATCTGCATTCCTCATTAATAACATTCAGGAGGAATATAGAAACATTTGTGCTTTTCCAAGCACTTGATGACTGAAAAATACAGTTCCTGGCAACCCTGAAATTATGTGATTGGTTTTTAATTGTTCTTAGATGTTCTTAATTTGTTTGGAAACTATTTTAAGTATGGTTTTCTTTTCTTTTTAATTGCATTGTCTTAAATGTTTGGTGTGTGCAACCTTTTGCTCCTTTGGCAGGAAGGGTGGGCTTTAGATTAAATAAAATAATAATAATTCCGCCCAAATTAAAATTAAATTAAATTTAAATTGTTGAAGGTGGTAGAGCAGGCTCAGCCCCCAGCAACTGTCTATTTAGCCACCAGCTTTAATTGTGTGTATATAGATGAATAACATATAATGGCTGCATTGTAATAAACTTTTGCAAGCACTAGAGGGTAGCATGTACTGTGAGAAGAAGGGGAAAAACCAGCCCCCCCCCCCAAAAATAAGTTCCAAGTGCAGTTCAGGGGAAAACATTGTAAGCATTGAGATCAATGCTGGTTTTCACAAACTGCAGTGCACAGACAGCAGCATGGGCTCACCTGTCTCGCACACTCATCATCTCAGCTCTGTTTTCTGTGAGATGGAATCTGTTACCAGCCCTACCATGAGGTGACCAGCTCAGGCAAGTGGTTTTTGGTCTTGTTATGAAAAATAAATAAATCACAAATCTCTAACAATAATAATTTGCAGCACATTAAAACAGACAGATTTGTTCTAATTGCTTTTGGTTTTTTGGTTTTTACTGCCTGGGAAAGCTGCTCATAGTATTTCCTGCGTCAAAATAACTTGTCCAGCCTTTGGGTGCTCTGCATCTTGATCAGATGCGATGGGGGGAAAAGTCATTTGTTGTACCACTTCTAGGGGTGGGTGAATCAGTGTACAGTGGTACCTTGGGTTACAGATGCTTCAGGTTATAAACGCTTCAGGTTACAGACTCCGCTAACCCAGAAATAGTACCTCAGGTTAAGAACTTTGCTTCAGGATGAGAACAGAAACCGTGCGGTGGCAGCAGGAGGCCCCATTAGCTAAAGTGGTACCTCAGGTTAAGAACAGTTTCAGGTTAAGAACGGACCTCCAGAACGAATTAAGTTCTTAACCCGAGGTACCACTGTACAGTGGTACCTCAGTTTAAGAACAGTCCTGTTTATGAATGATTCGGTTTACGAACACCACAAAACCGGAAGTAGTGTCCCGGTTTGTGAGCTTTACCCCGGTCTAAGAATGGAATCCGAATGGTGGAAGGGCACCGGTGGCAGGAGGCCTCATTAGGGAAAGTGTGCCTCAGTTTAAGAAAGGTTTGGTTTAAGAATGGACTTCAGGAATGGATCGTAAACCGAGGTACCATGCTATGTCCATTTCTTTCTGATTTTCGTTTTTCTGGTCAAGTTCAGTTGTCCACATTTCCACATCAGTTTGCATTGAAAAGAAATCTCCCAAATTGGGGGTGGGGGGGGCGACAGTCAGCATTTTAGTACGTATTTCTTATAGAATCAGAACTGTGGAGTTGGAAGAGATCCCAAGGTTCATCAAGTCACAAAGCAATTTGTATGCAATTTTCTCCACTATACATACTTTTGCAAGCAGGTTCCCTTCTTAGCATGCATTTCTGTATGTTCTTTTCAATAATGCAAGCATCTATCCCCATCCCAGTGTGGTGTAGTGGTTAAGAGCGGTAGACTCGTAATCTGGTGAACCGGGTTCGTGTCTCCGCTCCTCCACATGCAGCTGCTGGGTGACCTTGGGCCAGTCACACTTCTTTGAAGTCTCTCAGCCCCACTCACCTCACAGAGTGTTTGTTGTGGGGGAGGAGGGGAAAGGAGATTGTTAGCCGCTTTGAGACTCCTTTGGTAGTGATAAAGTGGGATATCAAGTCCAAACTCTTCTTCTTCAAACTCTTCAAAGTATCCTTCTAGTATACGTTGTTTGGCTGGAGAACGGCACTGCAAAATTCAGAAAAGAGCAAATGCCAAAGGATGGTTGTGTTTTTGGTTCACATATCATTTCTGGAAAGTGCAAATTAGGCCGATTCACCTTTAAATGTGAACTGAATCAAATTCCTTCCTCACCCTTAACACTTTAGGCAGGAAAGCATCTTGGACCCGCCGTGATCAACACAACCTGTCACTGCTGAAGATTGGAATGCCTAATTTTGGATATTTATGGAATCATAGATTTGTAGAGTTAGAAGGGATCCCATCTAGGGTGATCTGGTCCAACTGCAGACATCTCAACGAAAGCATCCACAACAGATGGCCATCCAACCTCTGCTTAAAAACCTCCAAGGAAGGAGAGTCCACCACCTCACAAGGGAGACCATTCCACTGTTGAACAGCTCTTCCTGTCAGAAAGTTCTTTCTGATGTTTAGTCAGAATATCCTTTCTTGTAACTTCAATCCATTGTTTCTTTCTGAGGGGGGATTTTTTTTTATTGAAGTTTTCACAATACAGTGGTACCTCGGGTTAAGAACTTAATTTGTTCTGGAGGTCTGTTCTTAACCTGAAACTGTTCTTAACCTGAGGTTCCATTTTAGCTAATGGGGCCTCCTGCTGCTGCCGCGGCGCTGCCGCATGATTTCTGTTCTCATCCTGAGGTAAAGTTCTTAACCTGAGGTACTATTTTTGGGTTAGCGGAGTCTGTAACCTGAAGCGTCTGTAACCTG